GAGAGAGAGAGAGAGAGAGAGAGAGAGAGAGAGAGAAGAGAGAGAGCGCCTGACCTTCCCAGATCTGGGCAATGCTTCTGCCCAGGTAGCTGGTACATGGGCCATAAAGAGAATGTGTGTGTTGTGTGGGGGGGTGAGCACATGTGTGTACATGTTAACATGAGCCTGTACGTGGCCATGGGTGTGCTCAAAGAGTTGGAAGTAAGAGCACACACATGCAGCCAGGACTCCAGACACAGGTACAGGATGCACTGCCACAGGGGACAGAGTATGAATCAGAAGCTGTGAATTATGACCAATGTAGTAAGTCACAGGTGAACATGTGTTAACATGTGCAATGCAAAGAAAGAAAAATGCTTAGAGTTGACATGACTTGCTTTAAAGTTAAAGGCAAGTAGCAGCTACTGTGAGGTTGAAGATCAGTTGTAGGCGCTCACCTGGTCTTCTGTCCTTGCATTACATTAGTGCCTTTTGAACATTTCAAATTCTTAGGTACATTCATTTGATAATTTCCTAAGCAAAATTAAAAAAACTACTAGGGTGTATGCAAAGTCTGGGGTGAAGACTGTCTCACAGGCAGAACAGGGTGCGGTATGCCAAGCCTGCAGCAGGAATCGTCTGTGTTTAAGGCTGAAGGACAGAAATCAAAAACAAAAACAGAGAAAACATGAAACTGCAAACTGACGACAAAGCAGAGAAAATGACTCCACTCTTAGCACGCCTTTCAGCTAACCACGGTCCCAGCAACACCAAGAAACAAAGAGGCACAGAGAAAAGCCAGAAAATTCAGTCGCCAGATATTGAACACTCTGCAGAAACTCTCACCAGAATTTAAAATGGCCAAAACTCTTGAACTTAAAAGAGTGAAAGCTTTAAAAACATACTTTAAAAATCAGAAGATACATCAACAAATGAGTAAGATATAAACAGCTATGAAAATACTTCAGTGCAAAGGCATTTAAGATCCCTAAAAAAATACATTACAAATAATTTGTTAACTAAACATAATCTGCCCCTCCCCACAGGTACGATATTTGTACCCATTTGGGGTTCTTAAAAAGGGTTGTAAAAATGCACACACACCACTGTTGAAGGGTTAGTGTGGACTGGGGCTCCAAGCCTGGGCTGACACATGCCAATGTGGGTGGGCTGGCTGGCAAGAGGGTATGTGGCCCTCAGTACAGAGCTACACATCTCTGTCGGCTCTCAGCTAAAGGCCACCCCTGATCTTTGGTGTGGTACTTATGCTCCTCCCAGCACCCCCAACTGCCACATCCAACAACTGCTCCTGCCGGCTCATCCCCTAATTCAAGCACACTGTTTATAGTGAAACCTTGTGCAATCACATTACAAAATTTGTGCTTCCCAGGATATTGGCTCTCAAGTGCCCATGCCCCCTCCATGACCCCCTCCATGAACCCAAGCTCACTGCATGACGTCACAGAGATGGGGGCTGGCTTTCTCCCACGGTCTGGCTGGCACTTTCTGAAAGGCTATACCATAATGAAATGTCTTCTCTAAGTTAGGACCATTATGTCTGTCAGATGCTCTGCTATAAACAGAAATGCCAGTGCAGGAAGCAGCTGAAATTCACAGTACAGCGGCCTTCTGACGGTCCCTCATGCCAAATAATGCCCTGGAAGGAAACTGTGTGGCACCAGCGAGAGGCATGTTGAGCTGCGAATTGCTTAAGTATGGGCCCACTGCTGGGTGAGAAAAATACCCCCCTGGGTGCCCCAAACCACCTTTCCCCAGGACCCCCAAACAAATGTTTTCCAATAAGGTAAACTGACATCTGACATGTGATAGACACTCCTGAGAGGCTTGGTTGACAGTGTGACCTGTCCTCACATGAAAATGTCCTTTTCCACAGGGCAGCAGGTAACAGGAAGGGGACTCTCACAAGCCCCACGTACAGGGTCACCATCTCCTCTGCAAACAGGTTCAGATATGGTCAGGGGAAATGGCTTTGTAAAGGGGAGAGTGAACATGAGCACAAGGCCACAGGTCCAGAGGACAGACACACTGCTTAGTGTGTGATGTGGCCACTTCCCTAAGGAGAAGTCTAGATGGTTTACACAGGAAATGGAGTGAGGAACGGCAAAACACAATGTGTGCAGAGCCTATGTGCAAGATACACGAGGCTTTGGAGAAGAAGGAGGGCTCTTCTCTGAGTGACGGCAGAGGATGGCAATGGTAGGAAGGTGGACACCGGGCCTGGCAGGGCCAACTTCACAGCTCTGATGCTCAAGATGAGGCCAAGCATAGTGTCCCTTTTCACAGTCCAGATGGATGCAGTCACCAGGCCTGGGGTAAAGTGACATCTGTCACTCATGGTCTAAACTGCAGTGTGCTGTGCCCGTGTGTGATCTGTGACCCCATCCTCACCTCCTTGGGGAAATGGGTGGGGCGGGCACAGGCACACACAGGCACCTGAGAGCACAGCTCTCAGAGGCTGGGACGGAAGCCTCTCTGTCCATCACGTGGGCGTTTCCAGGCTGGACCCACAGCACCCATGCCTCAAGTTGTGGGAAAGGCCTAGTTGAGGAGGGAGTACAGCATACTCCTTGTTCCTCCACTGTGTGCACACCACCTTCCTAGAGGGGGAGCTACATGGGGCAGCCAAGGGTCTGGTGCCCTGAGCACCCCAGTTCTGTAAAGAGGGCAGAAGGGTGAATTCTGAAGCGCTGTCCTGAAGCTGCGTGTTCTGCCAAGAAAACAGAAAACCCACTGTCAGTTCAGGAGCCCCTGGGAGATACCTAACCCTACAAGGATCCTTTCTAACCACCAGTGCACCTGCAGTTTTGCCAGCCCACCTCAGGCCACTAAATCACCCAGAGGGACAGGTCAGAGAGGCCCATTCCATGGGCCTTTAGGGCACCTGTCCCCTAAAGGCAATATACTTCCAGGTCTGGGAACAAACACCTCTGTTTTAGTGCCAACAGAGGAACCATCTCACATACCAGAGAAGAACAAAGGCAGGGAAGGGACAAAGTGCTGGTTGTTGAAAAAATTCCTCCCAGACATCACTGGCATATATGCACTGAGGCTCAAAGGCCCCAGATAGCCTTGAACATAGGGTGTTAACCACCATTCCAGGAAGGGAAGGACAAGACTCACCTGTCTGGGTCAGTGTGTCCCACCCTACAAGGATTGGGGTCAACATCATGCTGACCACATCAGACTCTCAAGTCGCCAACCTACCATTACCTGATAGAAGTGGCCTGTACTGCTGCTTGTGAAAGCCCATCTCACCCCACAACATGCATAAACAGCAGCAGGCAACCAGGCAGGAGGGGCGGGAGGCTGTACAGCTCCAATCTGCTTCCTGCTTTCCTGGGTGACAATCCCCAGGTTATATCACTTTAGATGAGCATCACTAGAGGATAAATGCCTGGCCCCTGTGAAGCTGGGTCACTAACACTGCTAGCGTGTGTGTGTGTGCGTGGGGGGGGTGCTATAGGGGGGGGAATGTTTCACAGCTCCAGGGCTGTTAGGACACCTTGTGTGCTTAGTAATGGCTTCAGCTGGACACTCACAGGGCTTATGTCCAGTTCAACTGTGTGAGACTACACTTCCAATTTCAAGACAAGACTGTCCTGAGAAGCTGAAGTGAAGCTGTGTCTATTATGGGCAGGAGCCAGCTTGTTAGGCAACTCTGGGCATGGCCCACTGTTCGCAAGTCAAGTGTGTATAACATGCTCCCTAAGTGGCTTGCTCATTTTCAGGTGTACCACTTACCTGTGTGTGTATGTGTGTAAACATGGTATATTCCTGTTTTTAGAATGAAGTACTCGTATCAAAAAAGGCACAGCACAGCAAAACTTTGGAGGAAGAACAGACAGTCTGATAAGGACAGTCTGAAAGTCACAGCACACTGGCCGAGTACCCAGTGGGTGGCCATACCGTTACCTAGCGTTGGGCTAGACACGCCTTGGCCGTGGCAAGAGGTCCTTCAGCAGGGGCCCGTCGCTGCTCGGTGTGGCAACAGCTGATGCTTTGAGTCGGGTGCTCTTCTGCAAGGGCGAGGAAAGATACTGAGCTGTGGCCTGCATCAGAGGCTGCGGGAGGCCAGTGCCAGCACCCTGGCTGCTGTAGACCTACGGCCACGTCCACACTGAACCACGCCGTCCCTACACTCTCAACCAAGGCAGGCCATGAGCTTTTCTTGCAAGGTCTGCACATATCAGTCATGAAGCCACCAAGGAGGCTGGAACTGGCTCTAAAGACTGCCTGTCCAAAAGGATGCAGAGCTTCTGCTAGGGTAACAGATGGCTCTTAACAAGTTCATGTGAAGAACTCTGCACCTAGGAGAAGAGCCAGTGACAAGGCCAAAGGGCAGGTTGCAGCACCGTGGGAGAGGCCCACCAGCTGGAGGGTCCCAACACAGACAGAACACAGGGAGCACGTCCGGAATCATAAAGCTATGCAAGTGGTCCTGCCATAGTGGCACCTGTGTGTTGCTTCCTCCGCAGAGCCACTAGCGTGTGAGCAGCATCTGCACACCCTGCAGACGGGGTGTCCACGGGCTCTGTCCTCATGGCTGCTGACTCCTGGCCTGGCCCAGCTCAGCTTCTGAACATTTTCCGGTCCTGACTCACCACCTCCTCAGTGGCAAGGAATGAGGGAGCTTTCAGAGTTGGATGGTAGAAGAGCAGGTGGAACTGGCAAGTGTCCAGTGAGGAGGAGGAGCCAGAAAAATGGAGCTGCCGTCCTTGCAAGCAAAGGAGCGGGATACAGCGTGTGGACGCAGAGACAGGAGTGTGAAGACACACACTGTGTTATATATATACAAGTTCAATATATAACGTGCCTGGTGTCCATCATGCTTGCCTTTTAATGGAAGAGGCTGAAAGAAAATCCCAGCTGTCTGAAGTCAAATCCACCCCACCGAGGCCTAGTACACATTTATTCCTCCAAAGCTTTGCAGACCCACGCGGCTTTACGGCAGCATCACGTCTGTCCTTGTGTGCCTTAAGTGCAGTGGTGGGCCCACGCAGCTGTGGCCTGCCCTGTTACCTGAAGACCTAGGCATGGCCTGGTCTGAGGAAAGGGGATCACACTGCCACCTCTCCAGTAGCTGGAGTCTAGTTTCTGTGCATGCTCCAAAGCAACTCAATGCATAGGAAGCTGCTTCAATACAGCAACAGTGTTTTCAGCTGGAGATGGGATATATTATATTTTACAAAGTTCTTCTGATTTTTTTAGTGTTCTTGGAAACTTCCTCCAAAATATTTTCCTAGCCATATCCTTCAACAGTGAGTAACTTATTCTAGCAAATTTTGAAGGCACTAAGAAACATTTTGATTCCTAGTAATTATTTGGCCTCAAAAATTTATTGTGTTAAAATTAGCATTTAAAATACATACAAGATGCTGGGCATGGTGGCACACGCCTTCAATCCCAGCACTCAGGAGGCAGAGGCAAGCAGGTCTCTGTGAGACTGAGGCCAGCCTGGTCTACAAAGTGAGTTCCAGGGCAGCTGAGCTATAGGGAGGCCCTGTCTTGAAAAATAAGCAAACAAAAAGATTCATAGAAGATGATCTGCTATTGGAAGGCAGACTTTTTCATGCTTTAGGCATTTCTTAGGATACAAGCTGTGGTAAAAAGGGAGCCCCACACAGGAATCCTCCAAATGTCATTAATGGAATCCTCCAAATGTCATTAATGGAACACTTGTGGGTACCATATTTAGGGACAGGGACAATTAGTCAAAACGCCACAGTGCCACCTCATGTTGCTGTTTCCTACACCTTGGCAGTGAGGAGCAAGTACTGGCTGTGGCAGTCACCTAGAGAAAGAGTCCTAGGGACCAGCTCCAAGCATGGCTCTGTGCTGCCAAAGTGGCTATTAAAAGCACACTAAAGGCATTTTCTAAAGACAGGTTCTTATAAAAAATTGGAACAGGTATCTGGTAAATAAAGGCTACTGTTAGTGTGGCTCAGCCTCATGATCTCTTTGGGATCCTGGGCAGACCACTGTCTCCTGAACCTTCCTCAGTTTCCCCACTACAGAGGGTCCCACAGAGGTGAGTATGCAGGACAAGGTCTCAACCATGGGCTATAGGAAGCAGGGCTGTGTGACATCACCTTGCTCAACTTGGAATGACTATGTGACCTGTCAAGTGCTTAGGTGGCCTGATGCTGGGCCACCTGTCTCAAGCAATGGTGAAGGCTCTGGGCCTGCTGATGCACCCTGAGAGCTGCCGTGACCACTGCTGCAGAAAGGAACAGCTCACGGACACTGTCCCCTCACAGGTGGTGTACTGTTATCGTGTTTCCAGAGGTAATTATGATGAATGACAACAGTGGAGAGTGCACTGGGTGTCTCAGCACTAAGTTCTTCCCACATGGTCCTGTGGCCATCACCCCAACATGCAAGAAGGAAGAGATGGTCACCTGTTGGTCAGAAACTCAGACCACTGGTGGTCTGGGAAAGCATAAAGACGGTAGGCTGCTCAACAGAAAGGCACTTGTTCCTGGCCTGCAGGCCGCAGTCCGGAGCGCATACGCAGTGTTTGAACAAGTAGTGGTTATTTAGGCAAAGCAACGGAAGACAAAGGAGGCAGGAGAGAGAGACAAGAGGTAAGTTGGTTACAGGCAAACATCCTGGCATATATTAACACCATTGCCCTGGCTGCTGGGTACTGCCATGCCAGGACACACTGGCCCGCTCCTCCCCACCCAGGCCACCCCCCAGCTCCTCCCTGCTCTGTGCCTCCTATAATCTGGGATGGTTTGTAGTAAGGTACTTCTCACAGGCTTCACAGCTCACTGCAGCTATGGGGACTTCTTCACTAAAGGAGGGGATGGGAAAGGTTCTCCTAGTATCTCCTACCTGCCTTCTAAGGCCATTCCAGAAGATTCCTGCAGAGCAGGGACCCATGGTATAAGCCATACGCACAGCCACAGCAGAGCTTGAGCCCTGTGGAGAGGTGCCCTTGACACCTGCAGAGCTCAACTTTACTGAGGCATATCCAGCTGAGCACCTAAATGTCCATCACAGGGGGAGCCAGTTCAGTACCTGAACATCCATCACAGGTAAATCTAACTTGGCACCCGAATGTCCACCAATGTCTGTGGACCAGGCAGAGGATGCTTTTATGAATGTGGCTACATCCTGGCCAGGGGACCAAGAAGGCATCCCAAGCCGTGCCCCTCTCTCAGGGTCAGAACTCCATGGTACAGTTGTCATCATAAACATGTATCCCACTGTCCCATGTGTCAGAGTGCCCCAGGCACAGGGAGTGGTTGTGAACAGTTCTACTATGAGTATGAGTGTTCATTCTGTTCCCATACATGGGTGTTGTCATGAACACAGCATCCCCACACATATCCAGTGTTCCTGGGCACCTGGTGTCATGAACACACGTATACTACATCCCTGTTTATAGGGTATCATGAACATGTGTCTAATGTAACCCTGAGCACAGGCTGTCATTATGATGAGTGTCCACTGTGCCCTTGTGTACAGGATATCAGGAACCTGAGTATACACTGTGCCCCTAGGCATGGTGGTTTTAGGAAAACACATGTTAGCCTTGGAACTGCACTGCTGAAGAGTCAAGGCTGTCAGGTTTGTTTAGAGGAGAACTGTTAAACAGCTTCCCAGTTCCATACGGGTTGGGCTGCTGGCTAGGGACCATGAATGTTGCTCCCACAGAACCACAGCAGTTGAGCACTGATCACAGCTCTGGGGCCAACTGTTCCCTGGGGGTCTCAATGACTGGCAGATGCTATTCTGCTCTCTCTCATGCTGTGTTCTACAACTAGCCCTGTTCAGTATCACTTTGTTGAGAGGCATTAACTTTGAACTGTTTACAGTGACTGTGGGTAAACATGTCTATTCCCATGAGCAGAGGCCTGGGTAAGAATTCTGACAGCTGATTTTATCAACTGTGGTAGGAGGCATGAAGCAGGGAAGAACTGGTGACCTGAACATGCTGAATTAGCACTAAGTCCTAAGAAGGCTTACCAGCCAGGATCCCACTGCTTGTGGTAACCAGCCCCCAGGTAGGGTTACCTGCTTCCCACCCCAAACATGGCTAGCTGGCTCTACTTTAGACTGAAGTTCCACACATCTGAGCCAAGGGGCAGCCAGGTGATGAGGGACCTGTGCCTGGGTTCCACTCTGTGCTTTCTTCACTAAGGCTCTGTGTTTCCATGTTGTAGCACCAAGGATCACAGAGAAGATGCTGGAAATGCAGATCCCACAGCCCTGCCTCACTAGGGGATTAGGATTCATGGCTGAGGTGGAAATCTGTGTTTTTGGTGGATTCCTAGGGACTGTAACCCAGGTGGGCCACAATTGTCAGCATCATGCTCTGCCCTGACCACAGGGTCCAGCTGAGGATTCATGTTGCCAGCCAGTTCGGAAGGTGGGAAACAGGCATCCCCCACCAATGCCCTCCTATAAAGGTAAATCCTCTGAGCCTTAAAAGTGACATAATTAAAAATTTTTTTTTCAGTGCTGAGGACTGAACTCAGAGCCTTGCAAATGCTAAACAGATACTATATCATTGGGTACCAAACCAGTCCATAATTTAATAGTAAAAGTAATAATTATTTTTTATGAATTTATATTAAGTAATTTTTTTTATTAATCTTTGATCTCTCATTCTTTTTCTTATTTCAGTTGATTATTAAATTCTAAAGATCAAACCAAACATTATTCATTTTACCTAATTTCACACTTGAAACATGTGCCATTGTAGAATTCATTGTAAGTTGTGGGCTAATCAGTTTTATGACCCGCAGACCTTGGTTACTTCCCAATCATAAGATGGACAGAGCAAAGTGGCTGGCCTGGATGGCAAGCCTCCATACCTGGGTCTTCTCTGTTGCTGTGGGCCACAGCTGTCTGCACAGGACCTTCTTGAGGACATCAGGGAGGAGGCTGACAGTGACAAGCAGCATGATGCCCAGCCAGGCAGGCCCACTGGACAGCATATGTATAAATACGTAGTACATCCGCTGATAACTGAGGAATGGCCTGGGCAAGAGACAGGGTACTAGTTGAAACCCTACCAGGTCAGGAGGGATGCCACAGCCTCATACTACTTCCCAAACCCTCCCTGGAGGCCATCTGTCTGGAAGCTCCACTTTTAGCACTGGCAGTCCCTAGGCACACCATCCTGCTTACCTGCTTGCCTGCCTGCTGTGAATCTGCCTCCTGCAGTCTTACAAGTGGGAGGAAGAACATCATCTCAAAGGGGAATGGGGATCCCAGAAGTCCAGTTTCAGAATGGGACAAGAAACATGACGTGAAGGGCTGGAGAGATGGCTCAGTGGTTAAGAGCACTGGCTGTTCTTGCAGAGGACCTGGGTTCGATTCTCAGCACCCACATGGCGGCTAACAACCGTCCTAACACCAGTTCCGGGGGATCTGACATCCTCTTCTGACCTCCAAGGCATTGTATGACACAAGTGCACTTACATACATGCAGGAAATACACTCATACACATAAAATAAAAATAAATATTTTAAAAAACACAGTGTGAAAGGGTGATGTTTACATGGTCATGTCCACATGAAGGTATTGGTGCAGCACTGACCCAGCAGGTTTAGTGGCTAACTGAAGCCTGGGTAGCCAAATGCTCCACACACATGCCTCCTGGGGTCTCCATGGGCCCCACCCGAGGAGATGGAGAAGTTCAGGGATTAATGAGGCTGCCCATGGCTCTCTTGGCTCCATGTTCCCTGTTTCCACCCAACACCTGGGGATCATCTTCTAGCTCTTGGCACCATGAACAGTCTAAGGATAGAGTAAAGCCCTCACCTCCAATGACATTCAATTTGAGTGTGGATACAAAGAAAGGGATAATGAGACTGGATCTGAAGGGGTCTGCAGAGACAAGGCACCTAGAACTGCTGGATCAGCTCCTGAGGCTCACAATTCAGGGGGGAGAGTTCCATGGAGGCCATGTGACCCACAGGCCCACTGTCCCAGGCTACCATTGAAGCTTCCTTGCCTCAGTCTCAGGACCTGCTGGAATCTCAGGTCTGACTTTCTGGCTCAGCACAGTAAGGCTCTGGGCCACTCATAGATGCTCTCTGCCTCTGCAGGGCTCCAGCTGTCATGCAATACACCCACCAACGTCCCCTGGCTGAGTGTCAGGGAGGAAGGAGGTCAAAGTGCTGTTTGTCTAAGGCAGCTTCTCTCCAGGGGCTACAATGCAGAGAGAACAGGATTTTGCTTTGAGTCTTATAACCTGGTGAGGCATAGGGCAAGGCTGGCCTGACCAAGAGGACAATGTGGACCAGCTACAGGTCTGTAGCTGCCCTTTCTGTGCAGATTAGTGCTTTTTGACAACTTGATACAAACCAGACATCTGGAAGAGGGAACCTTAGTTGAGAAATTGCTTCCATCAGATTGGCATATAGGCATGTCTACAAGGCATTTTCTCAATTGTTAAACGATATAGGAAGGCCAGCCTACTGTGGTGCCACCCTTGGGCAGGTGGGTCTGGACTGTAAAAGGTAGCCAAGCAAGCCATGGGGAGCAAGTGAGTGTGCAGTATTCCTTCATGGTCCCTGCCTGAGTTCCTGCCTTAGCTTCCCTCTATGACAAACTACAAAGTGTAAGATGAAATAAACCCTTTCCTCCCCACATTGTTATTGGTCAGAGTGTTTACCACAGCAACAGAAAGCATCCACAACACCTCCCAGTACTCTCCAGGCCTGGTACTCTGGTTGCAGGACTTTCCTAGACCTTGCCCATGTTGTATTATCTTAGTTGAAGGACATACTCCTTCCCTAGGAACGACGTCTTCATGTGAGGTCGGGCTGCTATGACCCTTTGGGAATGCCACAGCAGAAGGGACACACATCATCCTGTCCCCGCTGCATCTGGGGCTATGGAGTAAAAGCATCCTCAAGGTTCACATGTGGAAACTTGATCCTCAAGTCTCGATCAGTGGCATTTGGAGATGGGACCTTTTGGTAAATGATGAGGATGAACTGAGGTCCTGAGTATGGGTCCATGTGGCAGCATTAGAGGAAATGAGGCTGAGAAGAGCTGGTGTTCTCTCCTTCCTCCCTTTTTCTGTTATGTCATGGACATAATGCATGACTCTCACAAGGTGCCAAGCAGATATCACTGGTACTGTTCCCTCAGACTTCTGGCCTCCACAGCCTCATCAGTTTCCATACACTCAAGTCATTATAAACCACTCGGCTCAGTACTCTGCTAGAGCCCCCAAAAGGGCCTGTGACACCAGGCACAGAACACACGAGGCACACAAAGGCTCAGCCAGCACCACTCCAATGCAGGAGGCTGGAGGCTATGCATCTTGAGCCCCAGATGAAAGGGGTGTGGGTCAGTTAGGGCCACGTGGTGCTTACCAGATAATTCCTCCCCAGAGCAGGGAAAAGACAACGTAGAAGAGCAGCGACCCCCAGATGACAAAGTGGTTTATCCAAGTCCAGTAGTGTGTGTCCAATGCCAGCTACAAGAGAAAGAGGTGTCATCCAGGCACTCAGAAAGGAGGGCCAGAAAATAATGAACAATGAAGCAGAAACGAAGCCCGGCAGCAGAGTGCCTGCGCAAAGTTTATAAGACAAAACCACACCAAACCCAACCCCATGTGTCCCCAGGGGGAAATGGCTGGTGCGTCCTGGGTTCTTTGGTCCTGGGAAGCCAAACAGGAAGTACCCTCCATGCTGCTGCACACCACTGCCTGGGAAGACAACCTGAGGGGTTTCTTTTAAAGCCTTTAAAGACACTTGTAAAGCCTCAATGTGATGGGTTTGGGGAATTTCATAATGACATTCTCCACAGAATTTGACTTGAGTTTAAGAATATGAATTTTCTAAAATACACTAATTTTTTTAAGCAGAAGTATTTATATAATTAATCTATATAAGTAGTTATATAGAGGCTATGTATTATTAAGAGAATTTCAATCTGAATTCTTTTATAAAGACTCTTCATTTCCTTGGGGGTAATTTGGGAAGTTCACATACTAGGTGGTACAGATTTGCTGGAGCAGTGGGAAGGTGACCCAAGGGCAACCATCATGGGGGCTGACAGCCTTAGCACAGATCCAGGATTCTGAGAGTTCATGGGGTGCTGTGGGTGGGTGGGCTGGCCATGGCTGCAGCATACACACCCACGGCTGTGACTCACCTTCAGGGTGACAGTGAACACCATCACAGTGAATACCAGTGTCCCAAAGGTCCAGTTTCCAAACATCTGTGGGGACAACAGTCCGAATGAGCACCTGTTGACACGCACCTCTCCTCCCTCACCCCAAGCACGGGTGCTAGGAACACAACTCATCATCTCTGCATCTCAGTTCAAAGGTATGGGGACCACGTATCCTACATTTCCCAAGCCAGAGAAGAGAGAGCTCTGGTGGCTCCTGGCCAGCACAGTGACCAAGACTGGCTTGGGACTGACCCACTCTAGTGTTCTGCCGGCCCCTGAAACTGGCCTTGCTGGGTGCTAGCACATGACAGTCAAGAGTCCTAATGTCTCAGACTCGGTAGGGATAGAGACCGTATAGCTAGAGTTAAAATGCATGGTGTAGACTTGGACATGTCTAGGCTGTTTTCTGTAGAAGGGCTGTTCACCTTATTCCCAGGCTGTGCTCTGCCAATCTCAATAACAAACACAGAGTCCTGCATCTATTAACAGAGTTGTCCACAGCTTAGGGGCACAGCCAGAAGAATACTGCAGGAGACAGCCAGAAGAGACACCAGGGCACAGTGAGTAGCAGCATCAGGGTGGGCTTCCCCAAGAAGACCTCAGGACAAGGAGGAAGCGGGCAGGTGGAACAAAACTGGACAAAGCCCACCCTTCCAACAGCCAGGCCATGGCCACAGCCACAGCTGCCAACAACCAATCACCAGGAAGGGAAGACCAAGCAGAGGTGGGCTGCCCTCCATCCAGCAGGCACTTGGGCAGGATGGATGGAACGCACAGACAGGAGTCATACTACAAGAGAACAACACGTTTCCCAACTACAGACAGACACACAATGCAAGACCCACAACTGCAAGTCCTTTCTCTCTTGAAAGCCAGGCCACTGGAACCTTTTGCAAACAGTTCCCAGAGGTTGCTACACACCACATAAGGTGGCCATTCCATTTGCTGGGTTCTATGAACTGTGCTTCTCAGAGGATGTTCCCACTGCTTCTTTAAAATAAAATTAAATTTTTTATGTCATGAAGAATTAAAAAGTTGGGGTGCCTTTCCCTATAATTAGTCTTCAATCAAAGAAACATGCCCATAAACTAACTCCAAAACTATTTCAATGAAGTCATGGGTTATAGGAGTCCTTGGACATACACAATGGATAAGAACTTGTAGAGTTCTGGAAAAGCACAAGGACTTTGTAGAAAACACTAACTTCTCAGGGACTGCACCATGTCCTGCTCTTCATCCTCTCACAGAAAGGTCCTTTTCCCTAGCTTAGAAACATCATCCACAAAACCCTTACACCTGCAAGTTGGGGGCTTCTGGGCAAGGGACATCTGATCAGGGCAGGGTGGGCACTGTTGCAACCAGTGGGCAGAAACCAGAGATGCTAAGTGTTCAGGATAGGTCCTCATGAGGGAGAGCCACCATGACTAAGAGGTGTCATAAGTACCCTCTTCCCAAGTTTCACATTTGAGGCAGGAGTGCTTTACAACTCTGGAACCTGATACAGCTTGACTGCAGTCCAAGAAAATATTTACCTAACAGGGTGTTGGAAATCGAACAGCTACTGGATTAATTGAAAACTATAGTATTTAGCCAAATGGTGATACCCAGGTGAGAGGAGGTCCAATTTGCTCCTGCGGGGGCTAGCCTGGGAGGGGGGCACCCTACTGCCTCCACCCCAGCTGTTCTGTGCTACCAACTAGCAGGACATGTAGAACTCTTTAAAAAATCAGATACCTTGTGGCATGGTGTCAGCAATAGGCACACGGGGCAGCAGCATCACATACCAGGCCAAGGTGACCTTGTGCTCCTCCTATACCTGTCTATAGGGGGAAGTGACCCTCCACCAATGCCAGGTCTCCTTGGGTTTGGGGAGTTACAGCACACCTGGGGTGCCACCATAGGACACCTGGCCTGGAGTCTAAAAGGATACACAGCGACCACTACCACTTTCACAGGCAGAAAAAGTGTAGTAGTCTCAAAAGGGAACTTGGAAACTGGCTAGGAACCCAGGAAATGTGGTCATTTACCTTCCCATATCCAAGGTACTTGGCCAGCCAGTGCCACCTCACTGGGGCAGATGACCATGGAGCTATCTCCATACAGTCCTCAGTCCCTCATGTTTCCAGGGAGAGCCTTCTGGTTACCCAGCAACAGTTACTCTGTATTTGTTAGATTCCCTCAGGATCTATGGGTGGGGAGTGGGGAATGCATCTAGAATTTAGAACACCAGCCCCCTTATTGATAGGTGGTTACCTTCTCATAAGCCCCAATGACATTCTCGCTTCTGACTTCTTCAGGACCTGAAAGTATGCATCCATTGGTGTCTGACTGAATTACATCTCAACAATATAGCAACACTCTGATGGTCTGACAGATTCATACTTCAACAATACACCTTCACTGATAGAATGACTCATACCTCAAAAACATATCTTTGTTGATGAAACCACGGACTCATACTTCAACAACTGATTGATTCACAACTTAATGATAAACCTTCACTGTTGGACTGACAGATACTTCCAACAATGCATCTTCCACTGATGGTCTAATTGACACAAACTTCAGTAATACCACACCACTGGTGGTCTGGCTGATGCATACCTCAATAACATATCTCCACTGATTGACTCATACTTCTATAATTTACCTCCACTGACAGTTCAGCAGGCTGACAGCCTCAGTTCTGTCACAGCAGGCTGTAACTGTTACAACAGTTACTGTCCCTGGGTCAGTCCCACCTATCTGCCTGATGTCAGCCCAGTTCTTGTTCCTTGCTTCTTCCTATCTTCTGAGAATAAGCATTGTTGTTAAGATGTTTTCCGCTCACTAAAGCCTTTGAACTGAAGACAATTTAATTTATGCATACAAAAGTATTCATAAATATTCTGTGACAGACATGATCTGTTCTTTCTTAAGGTCAAAGTTATAACCCCTCTGTATCCTCTTGGGCAACTCTGCACCTCCATCTATCAGCTGTGCTCTGTGATCACCCACCATGGCCAGCTATGCCTTGGCTGTCCTCTAGGTGTCTCTTGACTACTGAAACATTTTAAACTGAATACTATCTAGGAACACTCCAGTGCACAGCGATTATCACCTTTGTGGTATTAAAATAAGAAATAATTATGTTTTTTTAATGTCAGTGTAGAAAATGCTCCATAAGCAATTTTTTTTTTTTTGGTCTTTTTGAGACAGCGTCTCCCTGTAGCCCCAGCTGTCCTGGAACTCACTATGTAGACCAGGCTGGCCTGAACTCAGAGATCCGCCTGCCTCTGCCTCCCGTGTGCTGGGATTAAAGGCGTGCACCTCCACACCCGGCTACTGTGGGTGCTGGGAATCGAACCCGGGTCCTCTGCAACAGCAGTCAGTGCTCTTAACCACTGAGCCATTTCTCTGGCCCCCATAAACAATTTTTTTAAAGTTACTGATAATTCCATCATTCCCTCACATCATGAATGTGCCCATGGAATGCAGTAGGTCTTTTTATAAGTAGTTCTCCTTTAACCACAATTAATAGAAAAAGCCTCTGAACTGATGGAAGCATCTGGAAAATGCATTCTGGATCCATACGGAGCATCAAGTATTAGACTGTCACCAACCAGAGTTGCTCCTTGCCCTTGACCCCTGTAGATCTAACACTCTCATACCCCAAATATATATATCAACATAACTCAGGCTGAGAAGGGCTCTCTGGAGGCCAGGGGCCCTGGATGAGGGGTGCACATGCCTGGAAATCAGACTTCCTTGACTTCCCTTGCTTGTGGAGTGGCCTTGATCATCTCAAACCCTCCATTCCTACCTCACAGATAAGTGAAGACGTCTACCTTGTAATACTTGTCACAGTGATGTCAAGGTGACCAGTCTTTTAGGTCCTCAGACTGAACAGAGCTCAGTGTTCTCAAATCATGCTGGACTTTGAACATACACTTGGTGAATTAGTCACCTGCTCCAAGAACTGGTTTGGGATGATCCTGCCAGCCATCTTTGATACATGCTGAGCATCCACTGACAAGCTAGTGTGCAAAGAAAAGGTGGCCACCAAAGTCTTCTACAGCAGCAAAGCCCTGTGGGATGCTCAGCTGGACTATGTGGCCTCTGCCTTTCTGTCCTCATTTCTAGTTATAATGAACACTTTAACAATGGTTAATGACAAGAATGGGACTGACGGGTAGGGACACTGCAGGGCCACCTAGAAGCATCCTCCTAGTAGTTCACTCAAGGCCTGATGAGGCCCAAAGACAGTCTGAGGAGTAGAGGACAAGGAGGCCAGGCAAGGGGAACACAAGAATCCTGGGCTCCTACGAAGGACAGTGGAGATGGTGCTATACCCAGTGGCCAGAGCAGCCTAGGAAGAGACACACCAGGACCCCAGGGGTGTCAGAAGATGTAGGAGATGCTGCAGTGTCTCTGAGAAGGCCTAGGGGGCAAGCACATCGCCTTGAAAGCAAGGAGCCACCCAAGTCCTTTCCTAGCACTGTCTCCAGGCACCCCTGGAGAACACCTATCACTGTACCTGGAAATGCGAAGCGCACGCTGCTACAGGCAGTGTGGGATGCGAGAGGGATGCCATGACACTGGTACAAGTCAGGATCCGAGTTCTGGCTCTGCCTCTAGCTATCACCTGGCTTCACCCAGTTTCCCAGCCCATGTAAGCTCCATCCTCAGCCTCCCATGCCAGTGACCACCAGATGAAGGGGACTACAGTGGCAGGATATACTGTGACAGTGACCTGGAAAACTGAGCACTGAGGTCTGAGTGTTTCAGATATACACGAGACTGCAAGATTTTTATGTAAAGTATTTCTACGGGGAAATCATATGAGTCACCTAAGAATCAAACAATGGTCTAATCTCACTTACGGGATGTCTGGTGGCATGTAGGCATTATTTGATTAAAATAAATGGACACAGTAAGTTATAGGAGAGCTTAAAATCTTTACCACAGCTAAATAAAATTTCAGGTTCAAATTTAGTAAAAACTGACTTAAGTTATAATGAGAGAGAACAGTACCTTATAATTACGAACAGATACATGGGTAAACAAAATGCCAGGACACAGGGCAAGACTCTGGGGTTTCACTCTAACAGACTGAGGGATCAACATGAGGGGAAGGGAAGAGCTGGTTAAACAAGAAGTGAGAAGCATTTCTGTTAAGCTCCTGGAAGGGACAGCTGAGGAGGAGTTTCCTCTAATGCCAATTTCAGTGTTCATTTGAACAGCCATCTCAGAACCAGTAACCTCAAGGAGAAGCGATGCTAAGCTCAATACTTATGATTTTAAGTGGAGACAACACTAAGGTCTGCTGGATGCCTCTTGTTCCCCCTTCCCCAGGTGGCAAAGGTATACCACCAAAGCAAGGCTTCCACCAGGCCTCGTGTCCTTGGTTTGCAGGGAAGTGCAGACCTATAGGGTCAGTTTGCTAGCCCTCTTTCTACTGAAGCCTTGACAGAGACCCAGGGAGGAGACACCTTTCAGGGACTCTCGGCTCTGATGCCAGTAGAGGGCAGGAATGGCTAACAGCATTTCTACTGACAAAGCACACAGAAGAAGTCACATTTGAAAATATTTTCAAGAAATATTTTATTCGTAATGCACTCCAAGAACACAGAGAGGACAAACCCAGGGTGTCTTACCATGTTTGTGTTGGTGGTCATTATCTGAGAGTGGGAAGGGAGGCAAGTGGCAAAAAGAAAAAAAAGCAAGATACGAATAAAACAAACCCCAGAAAGTAATCAAATAACAAGCTGCTGTCCACTAGAGAACTACAGATCTACTCCCCAAGGGGACATACTTATGTGCTGTGGAGAAACACTAGCACAACTTAACTCCCATGCGAAAGGGAAAGGCTGAGTGAAGTAACTGAGCCCCTGGGGATTATCTCACAATGGGGTACAAGTTATAAACAAGCCTGGAAAACCTCAGGACAGGCCTTCCCCTACAGCTGGTAGAGGGGAAGCTCCATGGAAGGTGGTGCTTGTTGGTCTGGGTATGACACATTCTTTCATCCTTCGCGTAACGTGTTCCACGGAGTCACATCTAATTGTGCTCATCTAACCGAGGGCTGACCTGTTCTCACATAATTGTTCTACAAGGCTGAGCAGGGTGGGGCTTTTATTCCTAAGCAGTGAAGCCAACAAGATCAAGCTCGGTACTGACCTGTCCGTTGCTGGTCACGGTTGTGTTTTCAAACATGAAATAAGCACCAAAGAAAAATACTAAAGCGTCAAATACGCCGAGGAACGTCCAGTAAATGAACACTCGCCAGCGGAGCAGCGCATTCTTGGCGATGTCTCTGAGGAAAAGGGTGGGAAAAGGAGTGGTGACATGAGACACAAGTCTACCCTCTGCAATGACACAAGCTGCACGCTGCCAAGGCTGCATCCTATGCTACATACCAGTGTTCTCTACTGTTTTTTTTGAGTACTTTCTCTACATATTCAGCTGTGATGCTGTTAAAAGCAGATAACCCAGTGCACTCTTTTTTTTCTGAAGGCAAGTGACATACACCACCACACGACTCTGACACACATTGATTAATTCAGACCGAGGACTTGGGCTTGCTCCCAACCCACATGACTCCCCGGGTCTGCTCCACTGGTTTCTCTGCAGCAATCGCTCTGTGCCTATTTAAAACAGCACACATGCTTGTTTCCTTAGGCATCAAGGCCTCATAAATGACTAAACACTCTAATGAAAGCTGTGAAGCCCATGGCTTGGGCTCCTGTGGAACTAGATGGGGGAAGGTTGCCTCTGAAGTCATGATGACTTCTAAAACTACACATACACGTGTGTATGCATACATACTCAAAAAGGACGAGAGACCCTGGTTATCTGAATGCTGTGGGTAAAGGACACCAGTGTGGAGTGTAGCCTGATATTTGTTACTATCAGGAGACTCTGGACAAGAGTATGGGAATCTCCCTGTTATAGAATGTTAGAGACTCTGGGTTCTGAAGTAGCAGATAAACAGCTTTGTCTTATTACTAAGAAATGCCTTCACTGAGGCCAAAACAGATGGAGATCCTATCCTTGGCTTTTTTATTGCTCCCAAACAGCACAGTGAAATGCAGACTGGCTTTGAGTGCACTTTCAAGCTAGTGTAAATCTGCCTCACCTATGGAGCACACTCTAGGATACTGCATGGCTGTTTATCCACACTCCTGCAGAAGCAAGCTATCCAGCTTTGAAACAATGCCCACCAGGTGGGGCTGATTGGAGTCACCCTGCTTCCTATCTGTTCCTTATGCTGCACAGAAGGAGTTGGGGGTGGGGGTACACCCTGTACAGAGAGGAGGCATGTACCTACCTGTACAGGGTCGGGTCTCTCTTGAGCACTTCAATGCCCACATGCTGCTCCATGAGGCTGTACAGAAGAATTGGGAGGGAGGTGAAGCTGATGTTGTAGAGAGTCAGATACGCAGTATCGTACAAAGTCTGCAACGAGGAGACACAGGCTGAGTAACAGTCCACAATGACTTTACTGACAGGTGCTATAATCTAGTTTGTCACTCTGTGTGTGTGTGTGTGTGTGTGTGTGTGTGTGTGTGTGTACACACTCACGCATCAGGTATCATCCTCAATTGCTCTCCACTTTATATTTTGAGACAGGGTCTCTCACTGAATTTGGAGCTCACTGATTTAGCTAGACTGGTTGGCCAGTGACCAGATAATCTCGTGTTTCCATCTCCCCAGCAGTGGGATTATAGGTGCGTGCCACCATACCTGGCTTTTTATGTGAGTGTTGTGGATTTGAACTCAGGTGCTAATGTTCCTTCAGCAAGCCCTTTATCAACCAAGCCATCTCCTCAGCCCCTAAATGTTACTTTTTAATATGTAAAGAAGCTTAAACATGCAGAAAGTACATCTAAAATCCATAAGCGTCATCTTTCTATAGAGATAAAAGGACTAGGACAATCTTCAGACTTCAGTTTACTAAGTTAGGTTTAAATTTACAGCCAGCAGAAGGCTGTTTGGACTAAAAAGTTTGCAATTCTGTTTACTTTCACTGTCTTCCAGCTTCTATTCACCTGGCCCTGGCTGCTGCAGATCCATGCCTTTGGTCCATCTCCATCTGAGCATACAGGACAAGGCATGGTGACAGAAAGGTGTCTGCCTGGGCAGCATATACTGAGGAGCCCTTCTCTGAGGTCACATATGCCTGCATCTAGTCCATTTCAATGCCTCAGACTCTAAGAATGACCCTGACATCCATAAGGGCTCAGGTGTGAGTTTAACTCTTCCCTGTAATTAGACAGCCCCACCCTGAGTATCCTGAATTGGGGACAGGCCTATTAGCTATATCACTTGTGTCTAGGAATACAGCAGTCTCAGGACATACAGAACCAGTAGACTCTGGGGGCTAGGAAATGCCTCAGTTCTGTGGCCTGACCCTTCATCCACACCTACTGACAGACCTTGGGGACAGAAGATGGATGGCAGCTGGACCCCTCCCAACTTGGGGGGTGGGAGGGGAGAGGGCACTGTCCTCCAGTTCCTGAAGTGTCTTCCTCCTCTACAGCCACCCATCAGGGAAGGAAAAAAAAAGGCTCTGGCAAGTTTCCAACTTACAACATTGGACTGACCTGCTGTGAAAACCCGCAGAAGAACTGGTACAAAAACTGAGGGAAAATAAAGCAGACATTCTGAAAGAAAAGTCACAGCCATTAGTTCAAGGGCATTCTGCAGAGGTGTATCGCTCACCCAGGATTCACAGGCTGTTGTCAACAGACTCTACTTTACATGGGGGAATTATTCCAGGTGGGCCTGGCATCCTACAAAACAGCAGAATGGGCTTCGAAAATTCCCTTCAGTGATAACTGAGATATACATGTGACTACAGTCTGGCCATGGCAGGCACAGGCAGTGCAGCAATGGAGTCCACAGGGAAAAGCTACCTGTCTAGGAAGGGCCTGTTTAGAGGAACAAGCCACCCTTCCTCAAACATCTTACAGCTCTCCCTGCTGGCTCCACATAATATTGAGAGGGTTTGAGATATGCCAGACATCCCCTTGTAATAGGAGCAAACTTCTTTCCTGATGGTCACTTCTCTTTGTAGATAAATGACCCTGGAAACATCAAGTCACTTGACAAAGGTCATGCCATTGAGTTCTCCATGTGCCACTGCAACTGAGAGGAGCAAAGAGACCCCCTACCTTATAAAAGAAGTATTGCACAAGCTCAGATATCCTAATGTAATAAAAATGCCCGTGAACAAGCAGCATCTTCTTCAAATGCTTGAACTTCGGTATTGCATAGTCACTGTTCCTTGCAGCCTGGCGACCCTCCTTCCCAATGACGCCTAGGATGAAGGATTGAACGCGCTGGTCAGCCAGAGCTGGCTAAGCATAGGAAACCATCCCTAGGTGTGGTTAGTTTTTGTCAACTTGATACAAACTAGAGACACCTGGAAAGAGGGGGCCTCAATGGAGGAATTTCCTCCATCAGATTGGCCTTGGTCATATATATGAGGCATTTTCTTAACTGCTAATTGATGCAGGAGAGTCTGGCCTACCCAGTGCCATCCCTGGGCAGGTGGGCCTGGGCTGTGTAAGAAAGTGGCTGAGTAAGTCAGTAAGCAATGTTCCTTCACGGTCTCCGCCTTGAGTGTCTGTCCTGGCTCCCCTCCATGCTGCACTATACTGTAGATTAAATAAACCCTTCCCTCTCCAAGCTGGTTTATCAGAGCAACAGAAAGAAAACTAGGACACCAGGCATGTCCCTCTGCAAATGCACCAGTTACAGGTGGAGGCATAAGGACCCTCTGCAGGCGATAATATGGCTTTGTCTACCTAAAGTGCCAACCCCAACCAAACCAGCAATGGCTCACCTATGCCCACGTGGGCCTCCAGGATCATACTGACATCATTGGCACCATCACCAATTGCTAAGGTAATAGGGTGCTCCTTTGAAAATTTGATCAACTTAACAATCTGGAAAAGAAAGAAATGCTCAGTTTGTCTTCTGTTTTGCTTCTGCTAGGGCTATTTGTTAACTAGGCAGAGCTAACAAAAAAGCAAACCTAACGTAGAAAAGAGTAAATTGTTCGCAGCTTACAATTCTCAGACCATTTTCTTCACACAGGAAAAAGTTCTCATAATGAAAGCAACACAAAAATAAAGCAAACACTACTGAGATATGGTAACTTTAAAAAAGGAAAGTGACAAAGTTATAGTGATGTTCAGGTATTTGAACAGATTGGGGCCAGTGCCAACCTTGTACTCTGCAAAGGTGCTGTTCGGTATTAAATAACCATTTTTTCTTAAATAAGCTATTCTTAATGCTATTTTAAGGTTCAAATTTGTCATGTGCAAAAGTTAAATCTGTCAACTTAGTGCAATGAATACTTGCCAAGATTTTTCTTTATAATTTCCAAATCAATTTCTTTATAGATTTTTTTTCCCTCCGTGTATGTACTTAAGTATAATGTGTTAGGCTAGGAGACCAAAAAGAAGGGAAACTTTAGATTGCCTTCTTGTCTCAAGATGAGAAGGGGCAGGATACATTCATTTGTGTAAAATCAATTGAGAAACTAAAAATAAAATCTCAGGCTGCCACTGGGGAAGTAATTACAAGTCTACACGGAGTCAAACACGTTAGAGGGTAGGAAAAAAGCCATGTTTATCTCGCATAGGATGCACTCAGGTCCCCGTGCCTCCTCTGTCTTCTCTGAGGATTTCCTGGGAAACCCTGGCTGTGTCTTCCTGACAGTGGCTGATTGGAGTAGCACAGTCACACACACGCCATAAACCATCTCTCTGTACCTGGCTCTCAGACTGTCATAGTGCATTGTACTGTCTTGGCTGGGCCATCTGAGAGGCCCTGGATTTCTACATGGTGGTTCAAGGTTCCCTGGCCTCCTGTACCTGAAGTGTACTACAGAAAAGCTGGATCTCATGCAAGCTCATGAACACTGAAAAGACTCCTTATTCATGCATGCTTCACACAGCACACTTAATGTATTTTAAAAGACTTTTAAGGTATGTTTACTACAAAAACAGGGGGAGCATGCAGGGATGTTTGGAGTCCAACAGAGGAAAGTCAAATTCTGACTGACACTGGCATAGAGCAGGTACTCAGTGAACCCAACATCCCTCACCCTCACCCTTGGTGTAGGTTCCTAAGAATCCTGCTGTCAGAGTCACCCTGCAGAGGAAGCCAGGGCCTGATATTTAACGATGGACCCAGGTTTTAAATTTCTATTATTTTTGCTTGTTTCTAAAAGGTGTTGCCTTCCTCTCTACAAGGTTTACAAACCAGAGACTGCAAGACTGAACAAAAGTCTTTCTCTGTGCCATATTCCCACTGGCTACTAGGGAGAGAGCATACAACCTGGGCCTTCTGTAACGGTGCCATGCGGCAGCACAGCACAGCGCTGCAGTTCCGACAGATCTCCAGGAAGAGCTCTCTGTAGTTGCCGGACGAGCTCCCATCTTCTCGGGGTTTCATTATCAAGGACAGTGCAGCTCCATCGATAATTAAACCATAGTCATGCATATCCGTCGAAAGTCTGTTAGAGCACACACATGGGAGAGGATCACTCAGTCACTGAACCTAGTTAGAACACTATAAACTGTGGGGCACCTGCTCTGAGTTCACGGGATGGAGATGCTAATATTTATTGTTTCAACACTACAATCTTCATAGTACTGGGTAGAGTACCTGTGACCACACTGTAAATCATGCTTTAATGAAAAATTCTTCTTTCACTCAAGTGAAGCAACTACAGCTTCCTATGGGTTTCTGTATAAGTTCCAGTACCGAGACAGTACCAGGAGGCCATCAGGAGGGTAGTTTTCATTCCTGGCCTCCATGCCAGCCTCCCTCTCTCTGTATGGCTAATAGCTCCTGGGCTTTTTGTTCCAGAGCCTTAATTGTTAGAATGTGAGCTATTAAACCCCTTGGTTGGGCTTTAAAATGACAAGAAAACACCTTCAAATCTTTTTTGTATATCAACGCAAGGAAGTATCTTTGTGCTGTTCATAAAGAGCCCAAAATTTCTGTACGATTTAGAGTTAACTTACTTTGCCTACATTAACCAGAAGATAGGCCAGCAAGATAGCTCAGTGGGTAAAGGCACCTTCCCTAAACCTGACAGTCTGAATTTTGATTCCTAGGAACTACAAGGTGGAAGGAGAGAACCAAGTCCTGCAAACTGTCCTCTGACCTCCACATGTACACTGTGGAAAATGCATGCTGACACATATACAAAATAAATAAAAATTAAAAAAATTTTTTGAAGAGTATGAATCAGAGACTCCAATGAGACCACCTTCAGATAATTTACCCAGCACTGGTAGGGCAGCACTTATAAAACGTGAATGTTCTTGGAAATAAACAACTTCCACAACACTGCTCCATCTCAGACAAACAGCCTGCATTATTGGTCCCTCCTGATCTCTCCAGCAGTGTCATAAGGCATCCACAATGAAGCTACAAGGCTCAGGAGCAGATAAAAATTATCCCAATCAAAACATCTTTCTGTAGTCTCTTCCCAGCAGTTTGAAACCACCCGTACACAGGCACTACACACTCAGCTGCTGTAAAGAGAATGTTCCTGTTTCACCCCCTGCATCCTCTTGACTCGTAAGGATGCTGGCACTAGTGCCCCATAGAGACCAAGGGTCCCCATGAGGACAGTGAGGCTGACTTGTGAACGAGATTGGAGGTGCTGCCTACCCTGAGAAGGAGTCTCTGGTCAGGCTTCCACTGCAGCGCAGCACTGTCTTCCTCAGCTCAAAGAGAACATCATGTAGGCTCTGTTCCTCGATCCTCTTGGTGGTCAGCTCCAGCAGCTGTGTGCTCCTGCGGAAGAGCTTGCAGGCATAGCAGGTGGCCGCGGCCGTCTCCATCTTGTCCCCAGTGAGCACCCAGACTTTGATGCCCGCCTTCTGAAGCGCCTCAATCGTGTCTGCGGCTTTCTCTTGGAGCCTAGGAAAGTGGAGCCAAGACAGACAGTGGGGATCAGGATCCAAAGGCCCCAAAGAAAGACTTTCAGAAAGATAAAGCTGTTAAGATAATTCAGCCCTGCAGCATACAAAGTACAAAGCTGCTGGCTCATGATCTATTTTTAAAAATTACATTTATTTATTATGTGTGTGCACAGAGGTCAGAGGATGACTTATGGGAATTGATTCTCTCCTTCCATATGGGGGACCCAGGGATGGAACTCAGGTCGTTAGGTTTGGTGGCAAGTGCCTTTACCAACTCAGTCATGCCACCTGACCCCTAGCTTATGATCCAACATAAAGGACCTGAAATGGCTCCCAAAGTTACAAGTGGGTACTTTACAATGACAGGACCCAACAGACAAACTTGAAAGAGATGTTTAAGGAGGTGGCTGTTCTGTGTGCCCAACTGGCTCTCACTGAATACACTGATACTCAGGGCTAAGAAGTTCCTTCCAGAATCTCTGGCTTTCCAGTAGGAAAAGAATCACAACCAGCAAGAAAAAAGTCTTATTCCAGGAAAAATAAGATCTGGAAACAAGGCCATCAGTATTATATTTCCTTTGGTATCAAGTGTTCTAATGTTACTTATCAAATTGGAGTTCCAGGTGCATTTAAGTAATAGTAGATGCTGGTAATAATGCTGGTGGTTCCACAGGTAACTAATATATCACCAGCTTAGCATGTGCCAATAATGCATGAGGTTGGGTATGTATGACCTTTCACCTCCACATAACCCTATGAGATCAGACCACCATTGCCATCTGATATATGGAAAACTCAAAGCATTCTGAGTGAGAGAAGTGGCTGAATTCTAACTTGAATCATCTGGCAAGACTGTGGGAGGAGCTTCCCAGTGTGAGGCATGGAGATCATATTATTATTACAGTTCCAGAAACAGGAAAACCACCTCTCTAATCTTAAAAGTTTTTGAAACAATAAAAGGAACTTGAGGCTTATAAAGATTTGCAAATACTCTGGCTCTGAGTTTTAAAGAAACAGAAATAGTGATCAAACATCACTTCAGGAGAGAGTTATGCCTGCAATTCTGGGAAGATCACATGTTCCATCCCAGGGCTACATAGTAAAATGTTGTCTGAAACCAACCAACCAACCTACCCTGCCTTTAGCCAACCCAGATGACACTGCCCAGCTGTGGGTGAAGGACAAGAGCTTCTAGCAGTGCATGGTTCAGACCCACACCCACCCATTTTATTGCCACTGGTCCCTACATGTACCCAAGGTGTCAACCCTCCATGTTCTGTGTCTTAATTCCAGCCACGTCATCCACCCACAGGGATACCTGAACATCTGCTCCCCTTTCTGTACCACTGCCCTCAGGCTAGACTGATAGTTCCTTGGCCTGCACAGTCCTACAGCAGAACTGTAGCCTAAGCCACAGTTAGCCTTCACGGTGTAACTAAGAAGATCCAAAGTTCTTTCTCAGTAATTATAACCGCTGGTTTTCACAATAGTCCACTTCATAATTTTAAGTGTCTTGGTTAAAGACATTAAAATCTAAAAGTTGGGGCTTGGTAGATGGGTCAGCACTGAAAAGGACTTGCTGCTCTCACAGAGAACAGATTTCAGGCATCCTATTCCCAGTTAGTAACATACCAGCCCATGACAGCCTCCTGGGTCATCACTCTGTGTGTAGGAACAGACACAAGCCGTGACCTTGTGAAGAACATGTCGGCACTGTACATGTGGGGACAATCTCCCTCCATCCCACCCTCACCCCTCACCACCATCATGCCATCATTTGTAACCCAAGCACAGATGTGTGGCATCTTTACCGGTCTTCCACAGCTGTAGCACCGAGCAGAATGAGATCCTTCTCTATCTGCTCATAGGCTTCAGCTAGCTTCTTCTCTCGATCTTGAAGTGCCACTTTGGCAGCCTGCAGCAGTTTGCAAACATCTTCATATTCTTCTGGCTCAAGCTTCTTATAGGCAACACACAGGGTTCGAAGTCCCTCCTGTGGAGCACAAGCCAGCATGTAATGTGAATCCAGTGTCACCCACTGAATGTCATTTCCAGGCCTTCCTCATAACCCTCTCAAGAGAATGGTTACGTTATAACCCAGCCGCTCTCTGGGGAGTTGGGTGGACACTGAATTACATTATATGGACAAGCATTGTGCATTACAGAACTATAACCTAGGACATGTGGAGATAACTCCTACAGGGTGGACAATGAATTATGTTGTACAGATAAGCATTGTGCATTACAGAACTATAGCCTAGGATGTCTGGAGATAACTCCTACAGGTCAGGGCCACCACACCAGAACACAGACTTTACTCCTTCATTTAAAAAAATGCGGAGTTTGATTTAAGCTTTTTGGGGGGTAATTTGCAATCTTGTAGTAATTATCTGGTGACAGTTCCAAAGTGAAGACCTTGTCGGAATTTGGCCTCAGTGTGCCCACTCTCCTGGGGTTGATCCTAGCAGGAGGGGCAGCACCCCCTACTACCGATGTGAGACTTCAGCTAACAGCAGGGCTTGAGAATTTTCCCTAATAGTGTCAATGAAACCCAGCATATCTTTCTATAGAATGCCATCGGGGACTTTCTCTGAGGAAACATGAACAGGGCTGCTTCTGATATATCTATCTAGTTTAGTCTTTAAACTGCAGCAGAAAGCCACCCTGTTCCAGGCAACATGAGTTCTCTGCTCCTCAGTCCTGGGAGGACTGGCTATGAGGACAGAAGCCACCTCTGCTGGATTTTGAGGACCCAAGGAGGCTACGGCATAAACAGAAGGAAGTGGGATCTCTCATTATGGGTTGCTGGCAGACAGGAAGCAAAAGTAACCTTTAATGTCAGAAAGCACCAGACCCAAATGAGAAATCAGGAAGTGTGGTCGACAGGAGGGAGAGGGACTGGGAATGGGTCAGCTTCTTACCACTGCATTGCGCTCTACTCTGGATCGGACCTGATCCACTTTGCCTTCTATCACATGGGGAAATATCGACGAATCTGCTCCTTTGCAAAACAGATAAATTTCTCCTGGAAAATGGGGGCAGGGGGCACCAATGTTGAATTCAATTATATGGGGAAACAAATTTACTTTTCAAAGTAAATTTAATTAATGAAAACAAGGGATACCTAAGACCAACTTACAGGAGATTTTTAAAGGATCAGTAAACATGCTAAGAACAGAAAAAAGTTCAATCCACAGAACATCCCAGGAACCTCATTTTATTCCCACATCTTGGAGTTCTCAGGACAGCTGGGAGCTGGAACAGTGTGAGCTCCTGGTGCTCAGCCTCCTTGAGAAGCATAATGTGCCCCTGGGACTCAGTGAGGAGAGCATTATAAAACCAAGGGTGAAAGGAGGTGAGCATAAAGCACCTTCTGAAAGTGGGTCATGACATGGAGAGGCCACCCTTTCTATCACAACTATCACAAGAAACTCTTTCCCCACATCTCTAGCCATGTCCTTAGAGAAAACTATGTGGGTACTATCTTAGGTTCTAATGACCTTTGCATGAGTCTCACTGGTGGGGCCTGTTCTTTCTTTCCCACTCAATACTGGGGTCATGCGTGGACAAACAGAACCAGGCTTGAGCCAGACAGCAGGTTCCCAGAAACCACAGCATCCTCACATGGTCACTCACCGAACAAACACAATTCAGTTCTGGAAACAGACTCTGGATGCTGCTAAAAAGTCAGGACAGCACCCTTCCCACTTTGGTGGTCTCAGAAGGAAAAGGAAGTGCAGCTGGTCCCAACCAGCAGAATGTTAGAATGGCTTTGCTTGGAGATGCCTGTTTACTTTATAGCAACAAGACATTCTCTCAAGATGGGTGCCAGGAAACTGACTGGCAGCCAAGTGTCCAATACTGGGTCTTCTTAGTTTTAGGTCACGACTACATTTGTGGGTCCTCCAGGCATCTTTCCAGAGAGGCAAACACAGTCTGCCATTCAGTGTCCCCTGGTATTATCAAGTCATTTCCTGATAGAATGCTGTTTGACTCTTCACTGGGTAAACTGCTTTTGACAGTGTCTGCTGAGTGCTCAGGGGTGTGCAGGGGTGTGGCAAGCCATTTCTGCAGCCACAGGCTGTGAACAGAAGGAGCAGCAGGAGCCAGAGACAGATATATCACTCTAGAGAGGGAACATCCAGAGAGTCTCTGTGCATCAGCCAATTTCTCCAAGAAAGGAACAGAGGCACGATGGAGCTTCCCAGTGGGGAGCATTCACACCAGGCAGAAGAAATACCTTGTGAGGGCTGTGAGTCTAACAGCCATCCATCTCCCTGGATGAATGGGAGTATTCAGAAAGGTATTCTAGGGCTTTGATGAGGGACCTGTGGAGTGTTGCTACCTCACACCAGGAGCCAGGAAAGGGGAATGTAGCTAGGTAGAAAGGTAGAACGCTGGGGCTGAAGAGATGGCTCAGCCGTTAAGAACACTAGTTGTTTTTGCAGGAGACCTGGGTTTGAATCCCAGCACCCACACTGCAGCTCAGTTCCAGGGGGTCCGACAGCCTCTTCTGTCCTCCATAGGCATTGCACAACATGGGTGCATTTACCTACATGCAGATGTTACACGCACACACATTAAAAAAAAAAAATTAAAAGGTAGAAAGCAGACTGGGGTGGCATGGCAGTGACTGAAGGCAAAGACAGGGTTGAAAAGCTCCATCTGGGGACACATCCACAGGGCGGATAACCAGTAGTGACTGACCTTCAGATACCAGGGTTATATAAACAAAACCCTGTGAGTTCTATGAACAGCTGAGGGCTGAGAGGGGGATGGGGCACATATCTATCTGTATGGGATTCTAAGGTAGTAGAGTTCCTTTGGATGAGCTGATGAATTCATGGGGCCATCTGGACAAGATTCTGTCACATCAGGGGCAGTCCCAGGGCCACACAGGGCGAAGTAAAGGCAAACGCTAGTCCACATGGGGCTCGAATGCAAAGATCAGTCAGAATCCTCAGGTCTAGAGGATCCCACTGTATGTGCTCTTTCACCATCGTACACTCTAAACCACAAACTGGAGCATGCAGCTCTCAAATAAAGATCCACTGTCATGGCAACCAGTCAGCCAAGAAAGCCATTATATCTATTTTTTGTTTTGTTTTGTTTTTTTGAGACAGGATCTCCCTGTAGCTCCAGTTGGCCTTGAACTCTGTGTAGACCAGGCCAGCCTTGATCTCTAGAGATCCGCCTACCTCTGCTTCCCAAGTGCTGGGATTAAAGGTGTGCACCACCACATCTGGCTGTATTTAAGTATTCTGAATGCAAGTATGGAAATATCTGCAAACCCACGTATGTGTCCTTAAAAATGGTGATTTAACATAGCCCATGTTATTCTGATGTATGTTCATAGTGTGGGACATTCATCAATGAGATAAATGTTTGTAGGGTACTCAGCCCAGCACTCATTTTTTCCCAAAGTAAATGAACAAATGGTTCCTATGACTTAAATCCTTAAAGATCCTAAAGAATTTATCCATAGAACTAAAACCACCATGTAATGTTAGGAGGTCAATGGAAAGAGGAATTTTACCTGTGGCAGATTTTACGATCACACTCATTCTTCTTCGTACAGAGTCAAAACTTAGAACATCCAACAGTTCAAATCTGAAAGAGAAAAGTAGGAAGTTATAGTCAATGCTGTGAGTGGGTGCTACATTTGAGTGATTGCCAAACTCCCCAGTAGGAAGTTGGCATTGTCACCTCTCCTGGCCCCTGCCCACACGGTGCCCTCAGGGGGTCTGGACCTCACAGAATGCCCAGTTCTACCCATGAGCTGGGATTAGTGCTTGAGATGGGTGATGGGTGAGTCCTGGCTCTGATTCCTCCCAGAAGACTCCTAACACTGGTGTGGCATTTAAAATACCAAAACCAGATCCACAATTCTCATGTTGACTTTGGGAAACCCATGAGGGGACTCAACAGCTGCAGTTGCTGCAGAGTACCTCAGGGTCTATACTCAGATGAGGCCTCTGAGGACTGCACTGTGCAGGCCTGACCCTCATACAGGCTCTCTGCAGTGCTGCTGTGCAAGGTCTATAGTCTATGCAGAGACCATGCCAGAATGGAAACTGGAAGCCAGAAGCCTCAACTGCAAGCTAGTCATGGTCCTGTAGGGGCTAGGCCTCAGGAGGCCACGGCCCAGGTGCCAGTCCTTAAGACAAGAGGTTTACCCACTCCCATTTACTTGGGAGCTTATTTTAAGAATGAAATGTAAAGTCTCATTGTTTTGAGGCTGTCATAGCTCTTCTTACACACCTTACCTCCTGTCTTTGCCTGTTTCTACTACTGTACATTTATGCATGTGCCATTTGTCTCTGGAACCAGCAATTCAACACTGAAGATGGTCCCTAAAAACTGCTTACTTGCTTCCATTGTGGAGAGCCAGAAGGGTATGGGAAGGTTAGAACATCCTGGAAGATTAGAAAACTGTAATATAACCCGATTTTAGGAGATTTAACTCAAAACATTTGATGCTGAATTTTTTTTTTCACTAAACATCAACATGTATCTACAAGGAAAACACTTGGTAGGATCAGCTTTGTGTCAACATCAATCTTCTGCACTGCCCAACATCCAGGAGCCTAGAAGGTTCCATAATGTTCCTGGCTTCTCACTAGGAAGGATGGGATTCAGCTGTGGGAGGGACCCAGAAGACTTAGTTCCTTCCCAATCAACTTATACAGACAGCTCATCATCATCATCCCTCGAGTGCACAGCACCCTCACCTTTCTATGTCATTGTCTCTGTTCAGTATCTCCATGTAGTTGTCTTTCAGCCTTAGGTATGTGAAACCGAGCCTGCAATGGGAAAGAGGAGTCAAACCTAAAGCTCAATCTGAATTCTGGGCAGTCCTCTTCCATGGAGTATCTGTTCTACACTGAAGCAATCATTCTTTTAGGAGAAACACCTTCAGTTGTTTCTTCAGGTTGCTCCGTGCATTATAAAATCAGGACAGTGTAATTCTAATTCTTTCACCACCTCAGAAAATGGCCCAAGAGTGTGGACCCTCACAGTGAAGAAGAGTACTCTGCGGATGCCTGTGGCTCTCGGGAAAGGAAGTAGCAGGTGTCTAAACAGCACTTTCAGCTTCTAATAATATTTCACTGACTGATTAAGGGGCTTTAGTAGAGAGTATGAGGTCAGCATAAGAGGAACTCTCAGAGGCTAACTGCTAGGGCATGAACAGTCCCCAAAGTCCCTGGGTTGGGAACTGGACCCCAGCGCAACAGTGTCAAGAAGTAGTTGGCTAGGAAGACTTCACCATCATGGAATGATTAATGGAGCCATCACATGAGAGGGTGCTCTCGCTCTCTCTGTGCTGCCAGCATTTTAGGGCACAGCAAGGCACCCTCTTAGATGCCTTCTAGCTTTGCAGCCTCCAAGCTGTGAGAAATATATTTTGTTTTTTATAAATTACACAGTGTGTTCTGTATGAAGATACTGTCCTCAGACAACCTAGTCATCTGACAGGACATGGGCGACACCATTTACATCTTTGCCACTAACCAAACCGCACAGGAAAAGACCAGCTTCATCACAGTACAGCACTGTTCCAGAGGTAATGCGAAATGTTCTCATTGCTCCTGCAGCCCCTGGAGACCACCCACATTTATTAGTGACAGCAGAGGAGGGACACTGGGAGTTTACCATCCCATGAGAACTGTGAACTGGGAGTCTGAGAGGTGGCCCCGGATTGAAATTATACACGTCTGATAATAGCATATGCCTGGACTTTTTCCTGTCTACCTAAAATACCAAGTCTCACATGGCAAAAGAATCCCAGTAAGACCTCTAAGCTGGATGTAGACCTCTGAGTCGGGACATGACACACGAAAAGGCAACAGGCAGAGCCCCATGCCCAGCTGCCTGCTCTCCAGGTTGTGTGATTGGGAAAGCTGTGGACAGTCAGCCTTAACGTCCTAGGATTAGAAGAAGGCTTGGGGAGGGGGCTCCATCTAGAAGGCTTTGAGCCCCTGAAATGACTGGCACTAGCTTACAGCAGACGGTAGGAGCGAGACCATTATGAAAACATAGCAACAAGGGCTCATGCTGCTGGTCAGGAGGGCCACTCCACAGGAGGCTCGAGGAACCGGAGGTCACAGGGTGCAGGGCAGAGCTTTCCAGAATGACTTATGATTTGTGTTGAAGACTGATTGGCCCAACAGTCTCTGAGACCTAGACTCAGCAGCTTGACTTACCTCTGGACACCTTCGACCAGCGCCACCTCATCGGGTGAGGATGATATGTATACACAGGACTTGGAGTCTGGCGATTTCTGGGGACCATCCACATCATCCCCGTGATCGTCGTCCTTCACTTGGACTGTGTGACACAGGCAGAGAGCACGGAAGAATAGCTCCTCTCGCTCCTGTGGAGATAGGCAGGGAAACCAGTAATGCCTCTGCCTGTGATGGGAGGAGTGTGAACAAGGTAACAGATTAGATGTGCCACAACGCAGGGACTGAAGCCTCCACTGGGTGAGCTGTCATTAGCTTCCCTCAGTGATTACAAAGGAAGCCTTCACGCTTCAGTGTTGCCATGGCAACTCATGTTAGAATTAATAGTCAGTGAAGACTGAAGAAGGGATTCTGTTCAGAGTGACACTTCTACAACAGGGAGGCATGTCCTCAAACAAGCTCAGAACAGCCAATGACTGAGCGGTATGTGAAGATATCACGGGGGGGGGGAACACAGGCAGGGGGGGCATGGGACTGGGTCAGCTGTGCAGCTGTACACATCCCCAAACACACCACTCGGCTGTTCCTAGCCACAGTGCCTACTTGACCATGTTAGTCTCCTAGCAGAAAAGGATTCTGCATACCACAGCACTTAACCTCCTGCTGTGTGCCTGAAGCCTGAAGCTCAATCTTAATGCAACCACGGAGACAGGAAACAAAGGCCTGTGCTGCAGTTGCAGAGATCAGTATTCAGAATGTATATGCGTGAGGTCACAGCAGGCTGACAAGATCTAGAATGGGTTTCCTCTGTGCTGGCTGCATCCTGTGGTCCCAGAGTTCAGAGATTCCTGGGACTGTTGGTAGCCGGGCATCATAGAGACAGAGGATGGACAACTGATTTGTGTGAGAGTTGGGATAGGGACGGAGGGCATGGAGCTGCTGTGGCAGGCATCAGGATGACCACAGGACTCTGTCTCCTCCCTCTTCTTTGTGAAAAAATGACACCACTTGGAGCTGACATTAAGAGGGAGCCAGTGCCCCAGTTATGAATAGGTACAACTACTGCTCGCTTTCACTAACAGGTCCCCCCTGGCTCTTGGTGGACCCTTCAGGGCTCTGCAGTCATGGAGTGCTCACCCAGTCTTCTATACAATCAGTGCTGGAATTTGAGCCCTGACCAGGGATGCTGAGACCTGGGCCACAACACTCAGGTGGGGGGAGGGCACAGTGTGTGCAATATATGTATCTGTGCACATGCAAATATGTGTGTGTGTGTGCCTACATCTGTGCACTTTGCATACACATGCACTGTGAATGTTCATGTTACTTTCAGTCTGCCCAAACTTGTTCTGTGCTTTCAGGTCAATTCTAGCACAGGAAACACTGGCCAGATCCATTCCTTCCTCAGGGGACACAGCACCACGGTGGCATCTGACCACAACCTCCTTGAAATCCTACAGAGGATTCTTTTTAAATTTACTTTAAAAAAATTTATTTATTTTATTTTATTTTTATTTTATGTGTATGTGTGTATTGCCTGCTTGTGGGTAAGTGTACCCGTGTCATGCAAAGCCCAGAGGTCAGAAGAGGCTGTTGGATCCCCTGGGACTGGAGTTATGGACAGTTGTTAGCTGCCTTGTGGGCTCTGGGATTTGAACCCTGGTCTCCTAAAAGAACGACCAGTGTTTTAACGGCTGAGCCATCTCTCCAGCCCTCTACAGAGGATTCTTGCCTTTGCCAGATAGCCCAAATGAATGGGACTGCTTCTGTGAGTAAAATAACTGCATCCACATATACCCTTGACCGTGTGGCACAGACACACCCTCCATCACAGGGAGTTGCAACCTACCCTCGCACTGACACCCGGGGAAGAGTCAATCATGTCAATGCCAGAAGAGTCGGGGAGGACCTGCCCATTGCAGATGACGTGGGGCACATAGACATGGCCCTCGATGCAGCACTCCTTGAAGGCCATGTTGTTCTCTGTGAGGGTGCCCGTCTTGTCTGTGAAGATGTACTCCACCTATGGGTGTGGCACGCTCAGGTTAAGACACATCCAGGCAGGTGACACATCTCAGTTCATGCCTCTTACAATTATTGTGGGACAGGGACTTCTGACAGTCTGTCCCTAACAGACTCAGTGCTGTGAGCGGGTGCTTACTGCAGCCCTCATCACCTGGACAGGTGCAATTCAGAAAGGCTGGAAGCCCTGATCTCCTCACACTGGTGAGAGGATATAAAATGGGAGAATACAGCCTTGCAGACCTTTCCTTCTAGGGGCCAGGACTCCACACATCTGGGAAAAACAGGAGCATGACAGATGGAAGAACTTTGAGTCTTAGAGGTCAGGACTCACAGCCCTGAAAGTTTGACATTCTACATGGAGTACTGATGCCGGCTGCGCGGTTGCCACATATGGCCTTTGCTGTGCTGGGACACTGCTCCTGTCCCTAACTTGTGAAGGGATGCTAACTCTGTCCATGCCTTCTCTGAATCTGTAGGTGACCACCCAGAGTGTGTCCTGTGATGCTGTGTATGCATCTTGTACCAATCTTCATGTGCTGATCCATCCTGGCATTCCAGGGGTAAGTCTTGCTGGATCATGGAGTAAGCTTTTTTTTTGCTAGTCTGCTAGTACTCACTGAGAGGTTTTGGATCTGCATCTGTGCCCCTCAGGGATGTACATCCTTTCTTGGACGGGATATCAAATCAAAGCCACATCTATCAATGCAGCTGTCATCCTCGGCACTTGGAAGAGACGTGAGCTGCACTGACATGCAGTCTGCTCACTCCACAGTCTGCTCACCCCACAGTCTGTAGCACACCCATGGGCAGGGACTGGCAGTCAGAGGCAAAGCTTCCCACTGACTCTTGAGGCAGCTAGGAAAGCCTTTCAAGCCCCAGTTTCTCCTCTGGGAAATGTGGATGTGAGCACCAACTTCACAGGGATGTGCAGGGTCCCATAGGAAAAATGCATGAGGCACCTAGATGGGGTGTCTCCCTGGAAGGCAGTCATTTCTGCTGTGGAGGTACCTGGACAGATGGGGTCTCCCTGGAAAGTGGTCATTGCCTCACGGACAGAAATCAACACCTTGCTCTGCTTTGTAAAGTGAGTGGCTTCGCTCAGTCACATTCATTGGGCAGTCACGTGAAGCCCTCTTTGTGGACCTACCCAACAGTCCTGACCTCAGTGACCTGCTTCACCTGAATAGAGGCTGCAGCCCAGCTTTGTTCAGGATAAGACAGAGTCAAACTCTGCTGCAGTAGACTCCAGGCTGGGAGAGATGCCTTGTCACCAAGCACTGTTTGACATTCCTCTTACAAAACAACCTTCCTAACCAATTTCTCAAGAAGAGGAACCACCAATGATGCAGAGGATGTAGGGCATGATAAGGTGAAACTCTTCCTCCTGGGTTGTGACTCAGACATCCACGCCTGAAGCAACCACTGGCCTAGAGAGCTGTGGAATACACTGGAGGACTTCCTCAGAGGCAGAGCTTCTTCGGAAGCAAGTGATCTTCCCTGGAGACCAGTGAAGGGCATGTGCCTTCCACAGTCCACAGACTGTTTACACAGTGTTACCAGGCAACCACAGGGCAGGCTGCTGTGACCAGTCTAACATGGATCATTTATTCAATGAATTGTCATTTGTTAAATGGCCCTTCCTGGGGCATCAATGCTGGGAAATGATCAGAGGCTACCCTTGAGGCTGGGTGAGATGGAAGGAACTGGCATTTCTGTGATGCTCTTTTCTATGCAGGCAGCACTGAGGGTCTACAGTCAGCCGACATGATGTACACTGGACCTGTTGTCACACTGTAGAACCCTGGTGGCCTCAGACAGGTTGTAGGGCAGTGTAGGTACACATCGAACCTGTCTTCACACTGGGACCCTGGTGACCTCAGACAGGGTGCAGGGTGGCAGGTGTGGGTACATATAGGACTTTTATACTGTGAAATCCTGGTGGCTTCACACGGGGTACAGGATGGCAGGTATGAGTGCACATTAGCCCTGCCCTCCTACTGTGAGGCCCTGGTAGTCTCAGGGTGTAAGGCAGGTGGGGGTGGCTGTCCCAGATGCTGGGATTGGTGCCTCACACCTCTTATCTCATTCTGTACCAGTCTGGCAAGGCAGGTCCCTACTACTGTCTCATTCCATAGACTACGAAACCTTAACTCTGAGCTACGGGAACTAAGGTTGCTACGGAGCAGACATTCAACAACTCAGCCACACACCACATCAGGGAACCTGCCTCAAGGCTCCATTTGCTCATTCTTAAGGGGAGGACCTCTAGATGGCTGTGAGGGTTAAATATCACATATAAGAGAAGAAAGCAGAACCTGTAAAGCAGGGGCTGGGGAGAGCAGCCTCACCATGTTCTACTCTCCTTTAACTCATAATTGTAAGGCCCAATAGGAAAGTCCAGGGATGAGCTTACTCAAGTCAGCCAATGCAATCAATCTTTCAAATGTTTATATATATATGTATATGTCTACATGCATTGACCATTATTGTATACACAAGTTCAAAGAGATATGGATTCAGAAAAAAAAAGAGTAAACTGTCAGTTGTATCCCCAGAGCGATTCTGCTTCAAACTTTTACAGTTACTAAGAATCTACATGCTGTGTGCAAGAATTACAGTGACCAAGAATTACCTATGTAATAGCAACCTCAAGAACCCAGACCTCTGAGACACAGAAGGTTGACGCAGGGCTAAGAAATGACAGAATGGAGTTCAAGAGATACTGACCTGTCCCAGTTCCTCATTTAGGTCAGATGTATTGACCAGAGGCCCTTCCCCCATCTCTTCATCAAACATGTCTTCATCCCAGGTGATGAAGTAGGAGCCAAGGAACTTTTGCATCTCCACTGTGACATACATGGACACTGGGATGATGTAGTTGAAGAGGACCATGAAGGCCAGGAAGTCGGTGAAGGCCCTGAGAAACTGAGAGTATTGGCTGTGTCAGCAGGCCATGGGTCACATGATGAAGACCAAAACCCCTCAGACCATCCTTGTGTTATATCAGTACGATAAGCAAATACAAGTATTTGCAAACACAGTGACGAGAACCTCCACAGCCACCTGCCAGAGAGATGAGGGGGACAGGAGGCCATGCTAACTAGGGTCTGATGGGAATGTCATTTTGGAATATTCATGGCCCTTCTAAAACTAACAATCACCAAATCTAATAAAAAAATAAACTATTAGATATCAACATGAAACAAGCCAGGTAAAAATGACCTATTTTTTCCCCTTTGAGACAGGATCTTGCAAAAATTGTGAGTTTAGCTTCAAACTCATGATCCTGTTTCAGCCTTCCAAGTGCTAGAATACAGGTGTGCACCATTACATTCAGCTCAAAATGACTTTTTTGTTCAATTTCTATCTTTGAAGCAATGACAGTGTTGGGGAGAGGCAGGGTGACACCCGCAGCACTGCCTTGGGACAAGGTCTAGGCATGAGTACAGGCCTAGGTTTCCATACAGCCCTGCTCTGCCCTCAGTACACACAGGCCTAGGTTTGTACATGGCTCTGTTCTGAGGTCAGAGCCTTTTATTCACCCAGTTACCACAATAAGCACCATTTATCTCAATGGTGTTTTGCTGGTTTTTGGAGATATCAAAACAATTTTGGGCACAGTCCTTACACACTTCCTATGGGAACAAATACTTTCCAAAACTGTACATTCCAGTACCCAGGACAGCAGGCAGCTAACACCTGCTGACACCACATGCCAGAGATGGCATCTGTCCTGAAGCTGGGGCAAGGCTCCGTCCTGCCTGGAGCAGATCTGTCTTGTTTTCTGGTACCTCCTTCTTATGACAATGGCTTAAGGGCCATCTCCCTCACATGAGGGAGGTGCTTCTGTACCAGATTCCTCTGGCGCTCTGCCTCGGTCTTCTGGTTGTACCATGGTTCATCTCGGAAGGGCTCGCTCTGCCACACATACTTTAGCACTGTGTTGACCAGGGCCTTGCTCACCAGGATGCAGAGGTACACGATCAAGAACGCATTCATTGACCTAGAGTGAGATGATGTGGCTGTTTATAGAGATGCTGCCCGTCCTTCCTCAGGGATGGTGGGACAGTACATCACAAAGGCACAGCACAGGGCATGCAACAGCACTTTACTCAGTAACACGGACACCAGAGCTATCCACATCAAGCGGAACAACTATGATAAGGGCCAAAGAGGACAAAACTTCAGGACCCACTTTCTTATTAGTCTAAACACTGTCTGGGATACATTGTTGTCAGAACTTCATTGTTCAATGAGAAGAGTGTTTACTCTGCTCACAGTGGCCTCAGGAAAACCACACGAGAAAATGGGGGCTTCCCACCAAGCCCTCCAGTTAAAGGGGTTAAATATTTATCATCATTTAGAGGTTCACATGGATCAGAGGGAGGGGCTGTGGGTGACTTAGCTTTGGGAAATGGCTCACAGGACAAGCGCTCAAGTGCTTGTTGAGATGGGAGGGGTATAGTTGGTTACCTCACCAGGAGGTAAGAAATTCCCTGAGTCATCAGCTGGGCAGTTACCAGCTCCAGACTCTGGAGGGGTGGGCCAGAAGACACTGCTGTCTACAGTGGCCAGTGATGACATAAGGCAGGGATAGGGACAGAGTCTTACTTCTCCACAGCAGATCTCTTCTGGGACTTTGACTGATAGTTCAAGGCCATCTTGGTCTCCATGCCAGTGTAGATAGCCACACCTGGAAGCAGTAGAGCCCATTTGATGTCAGCACCAGACCAACTACCTCTTGCCCTGAACTCCATGCTCTGGGGAAAATAACTCTCACACAAACACACTGTTTCCAACTTCACCAGGAAGCCAGCTTTTTGAATCATGTTACTGGATTCTTTACACTAAGGACTTCTTTGCTTCATAGGAACTAATCTGCACTTTATTTTCTTTAGGTCAGACTTTTAACATATATATTTTTTTAAAGTTGTTTTGGTAAATTAGACAGGAAACAGCACACCATGGATGAGAAGAGCTAACAGTGACACAGTCTTTTAGAGAAATCTGCATTACAATGCTTTGTGAATTCCTTCCTGGATAAGGCTTCATGTTTCTGAGTCCTGAACTATAGGTCCTTACTAAGCAAGCCATACTCTTCATTGCTGTGGCTCTGTGGAATTAGGTTACATATCAACACTCATTTCTTAGTGAGACAAATTCTCCTCTGCCAAACAAGTCTGCAGTACCTCAAGGCATCTGGTGGCCCTCTCAGAGTACCTCAGAGGAGTGTAGCTTTGCTTAGGAGCTATTAATCAATGGTCTGCTAATTATTTACCAAAGATCTTCTCCGTGTTCTTGAGCGTGGCTCCTCTGAGAAGCAGGTTTTCTGATCCTAATGGCCTGAGAAGACAGGGAGGCCAGAAGCATCATGATGCAGCGGTGGGACATAAGAGAGAAAATCAATTCAGTCATCTTAAGAGGAAGTAGTTTAAGAGCGTATTTGCTTGTACTGTGATTACCAAAGCTAGCCCATCCACCGGGAACACTGGGCTACTCTGGGGTGGAGATACTGCTTGCTGGGTCACCTCTAGTCCTCTCTCCCTGGCCTGTCACACTCATGGAGGCCTGATGCTTCATGGCAACAATCGAGAAGCCTGGGGAATGCAGGATCTTCCCACAGACCTAAGTGACGAGCAGCCTGAATGCCTCAATGGTATTCTCATCAGAGGCCACAAAGCAAGTCCCTCAGATGGGTCCCCTTACCTGTGCCACCAGCAGCACCTGGGTACATGAGAAATGTCACCCATACCTACACGAAAGAGACTCTAGGGTAGGACCAGCAATCCTTTCCCAATATACCTTGACTTTGAGCTACGCTAGGGGACCCCAAAATGGCTAAAGCTGGCGTTTCACTCATCCTTCAGCTGTTTCCATTCCATCCTCATGACTTAGGGACTCCACCTAATGTAAGCACATTTTCAAGGATGAAGGGAGGCTGGCACCTTGGGGCCTCTATAATGGAAGTTGAGCCTGCAAAGGATGTCTGCAGCAGCACCGGTAAGCTGTTCCTGGCTAACCCAGAGGAACAAGCCACAGCTTGGCCTTTAAGAGAATCCCATGAAAAAGTGCTGTCTTAGGCACAGAGCATGGTGATGCACAGACACGGGGGCTCTGCTGGCAGGGGCTTTATGGTCTACAGCTCCTCACTGATGGGAACTTTTCTTCTAGGCAGTGAAGGAAAACTCAAAGCAGCAGAATTCAATGTGCAAATCCTATAACTCACATCCTAATGCTCTGAGGAGCACTGAGGAGGAGCACATTTACCTTCCAGCATATTTAACATCCCTTCCCTGTGGATAGCTGAGAAAATACAGAATAGAATACACACCCTTAGTAGGGCCGATGTATTTGGTGGACATGGTTCAGATCATACTCTGCTGGAGGCCAAGGAGGAAGGGGCTTCGAGCTGCATGCTCACCTCACCAAGGTGGCCAGCAGGCAGCAGGCAGCCCTTTTGGCCTGACAGCCACTAACAAACAGCTCCCCTGGCCGTGTAAAGCTGTCTGCTTGTTAGCCCTTGCTTACAATAATTCATGTCACATCATTAATGAAAACAAATGGAATGGGTCTCTGGAAAGTCTAAAAATAACTTCCTTGACAAAGTTCTTTGCTTCTATAGTGTGGACAAATAGAAGAAGAAATCTACCTGAGTGGAGTGAGAATATGGATGGGTGACTGTAACAGCAAGCATTTTCTTCCCATTAGTATACTTTCAACACTTAAATACATCTTAAAAACCCAAATAGCAAACAGAGCGGTCTAAATGTTAAAAGTTACACTAAACTTAGTATCAAAATACAAAGTGCATTAGGACCATGTTCTCCAGTTTGAGGGCAGTAGCTTTGTGTCAGTGTGAAGCTCGGGGTCCTCACTGTGATCCCTTGGCCTCAGATTCATCAACCAGCAACAAGAAAAAGCCTCATTTGCTCAACTGATCTTAAACCAGGTCTTACCATGCAGATACCAGCTGTTTTCCAAAGCAAAAGGAACTCTCCTTTGAATAACAAATATTTAAACTAAAGCAACAACTTCTGCACATCCTGACAAGATAACACACTATGAACTTGCTGACCAATAACGACCATCAAACCAGGATAAGAGCTGGGATGGGGGCACCAGTCTGTGATCCAGCACTCAGGAGGCTAAGACAGGAGGACCATAGTTCAAAGCCTGCCTAAGCTATGTGGCACGATCCTGTCTCAAAACAAAACAAAACGAAACAAAACAAACCCACCAAAAGCCCATGCTAAGCAGTAAATAGACTGAAAGCAGCAGTTTATTGAGTTTCATGAGAGACAGGCACAGACACTGGTATTTCAGGGACTGTTTATTCTGTAGTAGTTTCCCACTAAAACTCTTGATTCTACCACTGGGCAAATGTTTCCTTCAACAAATGATCATATCACAAGACTAATTAAATTCTAAGAAAAGATCATTTCTCTACCAAGAGGAGTTTAACAAAAAAGCCAATTTCCTAAGCAGGAAAACTCGGACACTTCTCTGCAAACAATGCCAGATAAAACACATTCAGGCCAAAGCATGTGGCTCTCTGAAGACATTGGGGCTGGTGGTTTTTCAGATAGGGATATGTGAGGTGGTACCCAGGCAAGCAGCTCTTAGACAGGATCAGTAACAGGCTGGCTCTCAGGATCATTAATGGCAGACAGGACCTATGATGGCTGCTCTCTCCTGGTGGATATACAGTGTCATCGCACATGCTAAGACAGAGATGACGGAGAAGGCAAGTCATGGTACCTCCTCACAGGTAGCAGGTCATGTGTTGTGTCATGCCCCGCCCCCCCGGCCCCCGGCTTTCCAGGTCTGAAAGAAGCCCTGAGTGTCTCGACCTAGCAATGACCATGAACAGACTAACTCATTCTCATGTTGGAAACTCACTGATGAGGGTCCCTGGAGCCTCATTCTGTCAACATGCATACACAATTCCCAGAAGAAACCAGAGGAGAATGGAATCTGTGCTTCTGTGAGGTGGAATCCTGTCTTCCAAACCAAGCAGTACGGCAAAGACGAATGACTCTTAATAGTCGAAGAGTGAATGTCTAACAACAACAGAGGAAAACAGTAGGGTTCCCAAGAAGACTTACCTCACCACAGGGTCGTTCAGATCATTGTACACATTGATGCGCCCCACAAACCTGGCAACAGAAAAAGCCCAGTTAACAACTTGCGGTACCAGTAGGGGCTCCAACGTCACTGTCAGCTGGCCTGCTCAGCAACACTGCTGGTGGCAGCTAAACGCTTGGACTCCTCCCCCTTCCTTCCCTTCCTTCTGTGCTGCTTCACATGAGGCTTAAATGACTTTTCTTAACCCATAATTTACAAATTATTTCCTCAAAATAAACAAAACATGGAGCTGGAGAGATGGCTTAGTGACTAAGAGCACTAGCTGCTCTTGCAGAGGACCTGGGTTTGGTTCTCACCACCCACAGGGCAGTTCACAACTGTCTGTAACTCCAGTTCCAGGGACTCCAATGCCCTCTTCTGGCCTCTGCAGGCACTGCATACACATGGTACACTTACATACATATAGGCAAAACACTCATACACATAAAATGAAATTTTAAAAACAGAAAAAGACAAAAAAATAGGTTTTCTTCTATGAAGAAGGGACAGGTCTGAATGGTGCTAGTCTGTGGTGACACAAGGCCTATGTCTGACTCAGGCTGAACTTTCCAGCAGTGGGCCCAGTCTTTCCTGGTCAGTGTACTTGACTTACTTGTAGAGGTCAGGCTGTGGCTGTTCACACTCGATGGTGGCATGCAGCCCGTCGACATCCTCCTCCGTATGGAATCCCTTAGTGTCCTGCACTGCGTAGTGAGTCTGCAGATGGAGAGGAAACATGAGCCATACCCCAATTTCACTCTACCTGGCCATTGGGATCCACCCCAGGGTTTGGTTATGGTGATTCTGCATAAGCCCTACTAAGAGTCTGGGCTCGGAAGGTCAAAGAAAGACAAGGCTCTATTGTTATTCCTCCTGGTGGGCAGCACTAACTGCCTCTCCATGCTTACCCAGCATCCTCATCTTAAAACCAGCAAGACAAAGGACAAACCGGGGACTTCTACAGACCAGACACTTAATGTACCCGTCCTTGCAAGAGCTAGCAATCAGGAAAGAGATTCAGGAGCTACCATGCTCCTTTTCTTTCATGCAAAGCCCCATGGCTCCGAGGAGGCATCACTTGATTTCATTTCCCCAACTTTGCCACCAAATGTCCTCTCCTCATTGCTTCTGCGTAGCTGTTCACCTGTGTACATCAGAGAGTCCCTCAAACCTGGACCAAATATGAATCATAACCTCCAGGAGGCTGCCAGGCTGCCCTCCAGACCTCAAAGTTGCTTATCTGAGCAGGAGGTCCAAGAAGTGCATTTCTTTTTTAATATTTATCATTTTTATGTGTATGAGTGTACTGCCTGCATGTCTGTGAGTGCACCCGTGTCATGCAATGCCATGGAGGTCAGAAGGCGGCTTCGGATTCTCCTGGAACTGGAGTTAAGGACGGTTTGTAGCCTCCATGTGGGTGCTGGGAATCGAACCCGGGTCCTCTGCAAGAGCAGTCAGTGCCCTTAACTGCTGAGCCATCTCTTTAGCTCCTAAGAAGTGCATTTCTAAACAGATTCCAGCTGACACTGTACTGCTGTCCAGGGTCGCATGGTGGCACCCAATGGCCTAAGCCAGTACCTGTGGGGAGCACTGATAGGCAAGTGTAAGCCTATACACATTGCTTTGTTTCTCAAGGAGAGGGGAGGGGGATGCATGTTGGGGGACTGGTGAGGAGAAAGGGTCCCTCTGCTTCTCTGCTTGTGCTTCTTTCTAGCAAGAAGCATTGGGCAGACAGACTGTCAGGATCTGAAGCAAGAGAACATCTGATTACTATACCATCATCACCATCCACATCATTCAGGTACTTTACTCTGCATTCAAAATTTGGGGAAGTTTCTAACCATGGTTTGTCTCCTTTTCACAGATGTAAAAAAGTCCAGAGAGGGTAAAAAGACTAACTGAAGTCATGTGAACAGTACAGAATTCCCAGTAGGTCAACAGGAGCCTTCCCACGGTTCACTCTTTCAAGGAAAGTGTTCACCTAACTCCAGTCCCCACAGCCCAATCAAATACACAGAAATGACAGCAGGAACACAGTGAAAATGCTCCACAAAAACACACAAGAGCTGGTACACAGACATGACTCAATCATCTTCCCGGTTGAAGGCAGGTGCTGCGCCACAGGGCTCAGAGATGAGTGAAGCCCCCGAGCCTCAGATCTGTCCAGATCCTGGGCCATCTCATCTGAGCAGCCACAGCCTCCCTAGGTTGGGCTCCTTCCCTAACATGGAGCTCACATGTTAGCCTTAGCCAACAGAGAGTATAAGTGATTTACAAACACGAGTCCTGTCCAGACTTACAATATCCCACAAACCAATCATTACCCCCCGACACCCCAGAAAGATTGTTGCCTACAGGTACTTAGGGAAGAATGCTAATTCTCTTGGGATATGCTACCTAGAAAACATGAACATTAATTGGAAAACACCCACAGGCCTTTACAGTGATGTCATAAATAACCCATGAAGATTGGCACATTCTTTTCTAGTTATATATAAAAAGCATCAAATCCCACAGCACAGGCCACTCACATCCATGGACACTATTCACAAACTGAGTTGTGATTTTTGTGATCTTAAGCCTTAGAACTGACTGACTGCACTGACCTAGGCTCACTTTCAGAATCTCATAGAAGTTCCTCCTTCCAAATATTTTTAAATTTAAAAAACCCTGTAAATTTACAATACTAGAATTTTTCTCCTATGATTGTCAAAGGGTTTTTGTTTTGTTTTGTCTTTTTGAGACAGGGTCTCCATATAGCCCCATCTGGCCTGGAACTCACTATGTAAACCAGGCTGGCCTTGAACTCACAGAGATCTGCCTGCCTCTGCCTCCCAAGTGTTCGGATTAAAGGGCTGTGCCACCACACATAGCGACTATTAAAAGTTTTTATAGCAGAATCCATACCAAATTCAACCAATTAATTATAGTTCCAGAAAATTCTTTGAAATTTCAAACAACTCTAGTCAAGGACAGACTAATTTTTACTAGGAAAGTAAAAACTAAACTTTGAAACTCTAACAGTCTATTTGTTAAGTCTTTCATTTGGTCTACCAGTTAAATGACCTAGAATAACAGCAGCCACAATATCCACCCTAGATGATAGGAGTTAAAGGTGGAAAGAAAATAGCTGGAAGTAGGAAAAAGCAAACATAAGGAGCAAAGTTGGGGGTGTATGACCCCCTTGGTGCTCCCCATGACCAGAGAAATGCTTGGTCTGCACCTAGCTTGTGAGATCTGCTGCCAGAGCCAACCCTGAGCTGTACCCAAATTCAGGCATATTACTTTATGGCTCGACTCTCCATCTAAGCTGGCTGTGGTGACGTGACAGGTCCCATCTGCACGGTTGCTGGAGAGGAAGATCAGGTCACAGGGAAAGGTCTCATCCTCTTTCACCATGACAATGTCTCCAACCTGCAGGACAGAGAGAGGGGGCAGTCACCAAGAGGTCACCTGTATGTGACAGCTCATTCTGGGTTAGAATTCACTCTTCCTTCGTATCCAGTCTATGCTCAGGCATTGCTACAGTGTCTCAGAGGATGCTGGAGTGACTTTAGGAAGGACCCCCAGGCTTTCTGTTGGAAGAAGGAAGCCTTGATGGGACTCCATGGGCCACTACAGACCAGAGTAGCCCCACACCATGCCAGGATAGAGCATGTTGTGACAAAACACAGACAAATCTCTCTAACAAGATCATCACTGATTTGGACAAAGCAAGATAAGCTCATGTTTGGTTAAAGGCTGAGGTAGAAGCAGACCTTGGGAGGGCTCCAGTCAGACTGTGTCTTACACGCCCACTGTGATAGAGTTCTTGGTACCTTCTGCTCTGGTTGGGTCACCAAACCAGTGGGGGCAGCTACAGGCTAGCCCATATGTGACCATGAACTAAAGCACAGCCACCTAGTTTTCTATCTATAGCTGCTTATTTTCTCATCAATGCAGGCATCTCCACAACATCTGGGAAAGGCCCTCTGCCAATCATGACAGACTGCATCAGTCAGTGTGATCTGTGGTGGCTGTAAGGTGTCCCAGTTGCTTGGACAGCTTTGCCGCCCTTGTAGGTCCCAGTATGAGTCAGGCTACCCCAGCTTTTTCTACACAGTAAATGAGGTTTTGACACACATCACAGTTACATTCACAGTGATTTCTCAGAGTATAAGATCAGGATTATTCTTCCCAAATGACATCTGGGTTTAATGATACCCAAGTCTCATGGCAGCAAAGGTGCTGACAGACACAGCAGCTTACTGTGAACCAGGAGTGGGAAGGGTGGGCTCTGGAGCACTAGAATAGCCTTGAAGGGGCCCACTGCAGTGGACTCCACTAGTCTAACCATGGAAGACTGTTAGTATACTGTATCATGCAGTGTGGGGCTGCTGGGGGTCCACACCCAGATCAACAGCACAGAAGCATGCACCCACACACTTCACTCACCTGACAGAGGAGCGTAAGAGACTCCATGGAAGAGGGAAGCAGATGGCCAGAAATGACCTCTGACTCGAACGTCACACATTTCAAAACAATTAACTCAAAACAGATTGAGAGCTTAAATGTAAAACATTAAACTACAAATGCTTAGGAAAAATCACAGGCGCAAACTCTTGGACTCCAGGGCTGGGCAAAGACTGCTTAATCATGACACCAAAAGCAAGATCTCTAAAGGGTAATCACAAGCAGTCAGACATCAGTTATAAGCCCTTGCTCTTGGAAAAATCCTGTGAGAAAAATCAAAAGTCACATATTTGGCATAGAACTAACCAGTCTCCAGGATACAAACTCTCAAAACCAACAGTAAAATAAGCCTCAACTAATCCTACAATAAAAGATAGAAGAGGGGCTGGAGATGGCTCAGCGGTGAAGAGCACTTGTTCTTTCAGAGGACCTGGGTTCAAATCCCAGCACCCATATGGTAGCTAACAACCATCTATTACTCCAGTTTCCAGGGATCTACTACCCTCTTCTGGCCTCTGCAGGCATTGCATGCACAGGTGCACTTATATATAAGCCAACAGAACACTCATACACATAAAATAAAAATAAGTATTATTCAAAAATCTAAAAAATTAAAAGACAGTCAAGTTAGCACAAAAAGATTCCAGATAGAAGATAAGCACACAGAGATATGAACCAACATGCAAAGCAATGCAAACTTAACCACTTGGTGGCTAGAGGAGAAACAAACATTCGTAAGCTTGGGGTGGGGGAGTAATCCCCTGGTATGGGCAGGCTGGAGGGAAAGTAAAATGGGCAGCCAGTGTGGATGGTATTGGGCAGTCTTTCCTGAACCTCAAAGTGGCTTCACTATTCAACCAATAGTTGCATTTTTGCATCAAAGAAGTGAATTCTGACTTTACACAAAGCCCTGAACATGGAAGTTTACAGCAGCTTTGTGGCCAAAGTCAGAAGGACATGGGTCTTTCAGGGAGTCGCTGCTAGGCATCAAGAAGGGAGGAGTTTGCAGATATCCATGGCAGAGGTGAGACCAATGGGCTGGGCTAGGTGAAGACGCTCCTATCAAAAGGAGAGCCCCTCCAACAGTGACCAAATCCTAGAGATAGACACTGGGGCAAGTACATAGATGGCCTCTCCAACTGCACATGTGGCTCTACAATCAGCCAAAATAAAAAGTTAAAAGTAAAACAAAGGAGAGGGCTAATTTCCCAGGAGCCTTTGTGCCTTCTAAGATGGAGGCATCAGAGGGCCAGATCAGAGGCCACAGGAAAAGCTTAGTCTTCCCCTACTTGTTTTATGAAACCAGTTTAGCGCTAGATAAACCCAGATACCAGATACCAAGTAAGCATTCTCCTCTGGAGCCAATGCATTAAAGATGCAGTTTTCTGCAACAGATGCTGTTTAGGTCTGCTTTTTAAAGAAAGATACCTATCTAAAAGTATGGGAGACTCTGAAGAGGAAAGCCAATCATTACAGGAACTGTACTTAAGCTGGGAACTGAGTCTGTCAATATGGACAAGGTACCCACAGGCCTTCACCAGCCCTGGGCCCATATGCCTCCAGTTCCAGCCCTCTGACCCCTGACCTCTAGGGAAACATCCTAAACTGACATCCCAGAGGGAAAGACTCTGGCAGAAGCAGTGACACATATGGAAGGCATTTATAGATCAAATGTTTAGAATCACATATGCACACAGCAATACATAACACATTAATAAATTAATAAATCACAGATATGTCTGGGATCTGTGCCTTGGGAGCTACTGTTCCTCTGCACGCATCCAGGGGCTGTGGCCACATCCTGAGACACCCTCTGACCCCAGAGGTGAGCAGCTAGTTGTGTGGGGTGGGACTGGTGAGGACCCTTCCTATACCAGGGCTGGCCACACTCCCTGACTGGGTCATACTGCTGCCAGGAAAATCATCAGGACAGCAGAGTTGCAAATGTGGGGTGCCACTTACTCTCAGCTTCCGACTTTGTTTCCGGACCAGCTTGCCATGCTGAATGAAGTGCACAGGACACTGGTTCATGGCATTGTCTGCCTTGTGGCGAAGCCAGTCCTCATAACCCTACAAGCAGAAAGGAGAAAGGAGTGTTTATGGCTAAGTATGGTCTACCCTTGAGAGCTCTTGCAGCTCTCGGGTCCTCAAGCTGACAGTCTCCCTGGCAATTTAAGCTGTTTTAGGTTTCTGTAGTTAAAAATTGATAAAAATCTTTATAACTAAACTTCTGTACAAACCCAAGACCTATCCTCAGGAAAAATTCCTATGCAGAAAATATCTCAGTCAAAAGATGAGCCAGACTTCTTAGGCTTCTGCTGTGACAGGCCAGGTCCTCACTGTGGCTCTATAGGCCCCACGGTGTAGGTGGAGTCTGTCAACCACGGTTACCCCACCTGCTCTGCAGACTTTCGAAAGCTGACCTCACGGTCTGAAATAAGAGGCACATTGTTTTCAAACCTGAATTTCCAGATAACTATTAAGTAAGAAATAAAACTTAAACTAACATTAAGTAACCTGTAAATGGTTCTCATAGTTTTATTTAAAAACAAAACACAAATAAGACTGGGTGTAGAGGCGTACCCCTTTAATCCCAGCACTTGGGAGGCAGAGGCAGGTAGACCTCTGTGAGATCAAGGCCAGCCTGGTCTCCAAGCAAGTTCCGGGTTAGGTGGGGCTATAAGGAGACCCTGTGTCAACCCCCCCCATCAAAAAACCACAAACAATTAAAAAACCAAATCCAGGCCATCTCATGGTAAGGAGTAGGCTGCCAAAAGGTCTCCTAAATACATGTATGCACACCCCCCCACACATGCATGTACACACACATATACACCCCCCCCACAGCAATGGAGACCACCCACACTTGTCAGAATCTAGAGCGAGTGGCTCAGCCTATGATTGTACTGCCTGCTGTTGGATGGGTGCGTTGCTCTACATCTCAGGAAAGCATCTGCTTAGAAGCTGATAGTCTACAAATAATCCAGATGCCTCAACTGAAAATGTGACCCGTAAATACTGAAATACAAATTCACATCACTCTGCATTCCTCCTGCAGAAGGGGCAGCCAGACCATAGAAGAACTCCACAGCTTCATGAAGAGACCAGCGACCCAATCCAATTGAAAACAAGCAAAGTTCACGTCACTAAAGATGATTTAGCATGGCCTGTCAGTCCAGGGCAGGATTCCCAACCACACTGGCCATTAGAGAAATGCTGATCAAGATGCCACCAGGCACACACTGAGACAAGCATTGGTGGCAGAGCCCGAAGATGGCAGCGGGAAAGCCTTCAGTTGCTCAGGGAGACACCTGGTCGGTTCCACAGACTCTTGGAGCAGTTCTACCTCTAGACCTACCCCAAGAGTTAAAGATCTGTGTCCATCCACAGATTCAGTGCATGTAATTATATTATTTGTTAATTAAAAATACAAACATAAGCAGTAACAGAGCAAACCCGTGTCCACACAAATGCTCTGAACAGTATACTTCACAAGAGCTAAAAGGAGAAGCATCCTAAATGCCTGTCAAGAGATGGCTGGACAAATGAACAGGGTCTAAGCACACACTGAGTCTAACTAAGCACAACCTGAAGTATTTCTTATTTATAACAATGGTTAAAGCTCTGACATGTTACAGCATGGATAAACCTTGAGAACATTAAGCTACCTGAAAAGACCAGTTATAAACCACCACGTGTTGATTCTGTTTATATGAAATATCCTGAATAGGCAAATCCTGAGAGATGGGAGTAGTGTTTACCAGGAGCTAGAGAGAAGGAACTGGGTACAAGCTTTCATCTTGGGGTGAAAAAGCTAGAGTGGTAAGAAAAACATGAGGCTGTTTACTCAGACACAATCACCAGGCTTCATTTAGCAAGACTGAGAAAACACTGCCCACACTCTGCCCCCAAGAGGACAGCAGGCTACACCTCTGCAGAAACCCATTCTGGGTCATCGAGGAGCAGGGCCTGGGATGCTGGGCATCAGAACCCATCTGCTCTGGTTGGCTCAGGATGTGGAAACCTACTTTCTTTTCCAATTCAAAGGCACCAAGCTGGCAACTAACTGAGTCTAACTCAAATTTCAACCAGAAGCAAAACTGACTCTCAGGCCTACTTAACTTTTCAACAAATTAACTAAAACAAACCAGACTGCCCACTTTGCATGGAGGTGACTTCTCATGGCAACATGGGTACTTGCCTTTCTGCCTGTGAGACTCTTACCTGCTTGATGGCTGTGACCGTGATGACAAAGAACAATGGGAGCCCGCTGGTCACTGGACTTGTGGGTGTGTCGATAATCAACTGCAGTAAAAAGACAATTGTGGAATTACCTTTAAAAGTGACCTGGGACAGTGGCTGGCCTAGTACCACCGTCCCCTCAAGCCAGCTTTTGCTTGGAAGCACTCTGTTGGTTCCCCCTTTGCCTTACTACCTGGATAGGAGGCACACCACCCTGTCCTAGCAATTACAACCAAGGGAGGCTCATTAATTAAGAGTAATGTTTAAGGAAACCATGTTTAGTATGCAGCAAGGTCACAGTCTGAATCAGGAATATATTCTGCCTCATTCATTTCACACTGCTGTGTTATACTTTAGTCACTATTAAGAGTTTGTTCTAGGGAATCATTCAGCCATACTTAAGAGTGATTCAGAAAAAAGTTGGGATGCCATTCATAAAGCTCATCCGACACACTGCTCCTCGGCCCATACCCTGGCTGTGCCCCATGCTCCCTAGCCTATGTGCTCACTGCATTCCCTGCCTCTCAGTCAGTCCCTCTGGATGTGCAACTGCTTTGTGTTTTCTTTGGAGTATCAGGAAGGGAACCAGGGAGACACCAGATATGGCTGCTGAACTTGCCTCACAGGAAGGCTGGTTTAAACACAAGGATCCAGAGTATGTTCGGCTGAGCTAAATCTTGGAGAACCTGTGAATGAATGCTAAAGGAAGCACTGAGTCCTTGCTGCTTTGGTAATGCAGCTCACTTATTTAAGACTAAAAGAACATTTGCTGAGACAGGACTGTCCTTACCTGTACCAGGAAGATGATGAGAAAATAAAAGTTAGCTACTCTTCTGAATTGTTCAAATAAGTTCTTGGGTATGAAGTTCCAAAATGTGTACTGTGTAAAAGAAAAGCAAAAATAAGTCCCTTTTCGTACCGTGCTACTACATTATAAGCAGGACTGGGGTACAAAGTTTAAAGCATTTAAGCACTTTCATAGTACAGTAGGCAGCACGTCGGTCTCATAAAGCATTTAGTTTCAGATACAAAACATCAAAACTTAGAGTGATTGCTGACATTTTGTCAATTTTTTTTATAACACCATAAGACAAACTGCTAAGGCATACTGTGTTCTCAAAAAGCAGATACAAATGACCCAGTCCAGTGATTCAAGGTGAGAAGCCAAGCCACCGCCGTAGTATTACTGTAAGGAATGCTCCATTCCATAAGGGCCTGGTGAAGAAGACTCAGCACACACACACACCATCCAGCATTACCATATCCTATGTATGGTATGACTAAATGACCCAGTAGGCAGGACAGATTTTGACCTGCCTGGAGGCAGTGTCTACATGGCAGGGCATGGTATCCACACAGCAGGATGCTCTGTCTCTCTAGCCACACAGTAGTCCTGGCTCTTCCTTGTATCTGGAGGGCAGGGAAAGAAGATGGTTCCTACCACCACCATACAGTCTCCAAAATGTCAAAATGTCAGTACAAATACAAATAGTATTTGTACTGAAAATTAAAGCCCTCCAAATGTCCTTAATGTGTTACTATCCTGGGTCTTTTGCTTTTTCACATAAATTTAGAATTAGATTGCTGAGACCTATAAAGTCACCTGTGAGAACTCTGCAGATAAAGTCAGCACAATCAGTATTTTAAAAACATGGTCTTCCTGCCCATTAGCATGGGACACCTCTCCTCTGCTCGAACCATTTTTTATTTCTTTTATGTGGGTGCTGCAGTCTCCTCATGACTCTGAGTTTCAGTGTTCTTGTCTGCAGGTAGAACTTGGTGAAATTCAGAATCCTGTCTAAAGCAGGTATTCAAATAGGACCAAGATGAATTCTAGATCATGACCAACATGGCACATGCAACTCCTCTCCATATTTTAATGAAACATTTCCCCTTAACTGGGCCCCAAAGAAAAGGTTAGGCACCTTCCGTTCACTTGCTAAAGGAGATGTTGAAGACATGAAAGGTCCATCTGTGACTCATTTTCACATTTCTGAGACTAACATAAGATGATCTTTTATTCCTTATACATTTATTTTCTAAGACACAGCAATCACTAAATGGAATTAGTGTCCCCACTCTATGAAGCCAACCTTATTTCTCTGGATCCAGGTCAACAACTTATTATCTACCTATTAAGCAAAACATCTCTCAAATTTCTACTAACATATTTCTCCGTAATAAAGTTAGATTGATAGGAAAAGTTCCTACTAAATATTCCATTTTTCATCTACTGAACTATTTATAGATGACAATTACCTGGTTTCAGGATTTCCTTCAAAATTATCTCAGAGGCTAAAAGGGAGGCATGGACACAGCAGGTTGGTATATGGTCCAGTATGTGGTTACCCATGCAGCACAATGTGCTGTACAATAACTAAGAGATTTGTGGTGTGCCTTTTTTTTTTTTAACTTTTAAAATGCACCCACCCTCCACCCCGGTTGGGGATGTGGTTCAGTGGTAGGGCACCTACCTAGTATGTGCAAGGTCCTGAATTCAATCCCTAGTGTCCTAGTTAGCTTTCTTTCTACCACTGTGATAAAACTGACCAAAAGCAACCCCAAGAAGGAAACGGTTTATTTCATTTTACATCTCACAGGTCAGAGTTCAGCACTGAGCAAAGCCAGGGCAGGAACTCGGCAGAAACCAAAGCACAGGCCATGGGGAATGCTGCTTACTGGCCTGCTCTTCTGACCAGTGTTCAGCCTGCTTTCTTATACAACTCAGGACCACCTGCCCAGGGGTGGCACCACCCACAGTGGGCTGGGCCCTCTCACATAACTCAATAATCAAGAAAATGCTTCATAGACATGGCCACAGGCCAATCCAATGGAGGAAACGCCTTAACTGAAGTTGTCTCTTCCTACATCAAGTTGATAACTGAAGCTATCAAGCATGCCTGCCTAGTCCTGCAATAAATAAATAAATTTCACATTGGTAAGTTCTGAAATCTCTCTTCTCCAATCTTTCCAAACATACATATAAGTTCAATTGGTCAATGAAGGAAAGTTTCTTTGGGAATAAAGAAAAAGATAAAAATCTGGGATACACACGCACGGGCTAGAGGTTGCTGGTGTGTCTGGAGAACAAAGGCAGGCTGGGGCTTTATGAGGGCAGGGAAATGTGACATTGTGGAATGAAGCTCAGTGGTGAGCTCAGTTTGGTAAGCAGTGAGCACCATGCCTAGCTAGTTTAAGGTAGCTAGGAGTTCTGTGGTCAGTCGCTAAATGAAACAGTATTTGAGACACAGCCACTATGGTTGCATTGGCTGTGAGCTGCTCTGAGAGCAAATGATTCAATGTTTGTCTCCACTGAGAGGGTGGGGGCACCACAGGTGACCCTGGTGTGCACAACACATTTCCATAGCAGGCTGCATGCACATCTGGCTCTGTACTACCTAAAGGTACTGCGCTAGCTCCCTGAAGTTCTATTGCCTACCAGAGAACTAGGATCTTTGCGGAATAAAAAACTATTAAGGCTGGGTGTGGTGACGCATGTCTTTAATCCCAGTACTCGGGAGGCAAAGGCAGGTGGATTTCTGTGAGATCGAGGTCAGCCTGGTCTAAGTAGGCAAATTCCAGGCCAGCTATGGCCACAGGGAGACCCTGTCTCCAAAGACCAAAAAAACAAACCCCCCCACCCCACCCCCCAAAAAACCAAACAAACCGATAACAAAAACCAAAAACCCAGCCATTAAGAAGGCCCCTCCACAGCTGAGACCATTCACTCTGTAATTCCCATGACTCACAAAACATGCTACCATAATCAATTGTGGCTGCAGACTATATATAATGGAAAGCCAATGAAATAATGTAAATGTCCATGGATGCACTGACCTATCAGCAAAACGAACAAAAAAAGTCTGTAAGCATGAGGGTCAGAGCTCAGATTCCCCACCTATGTATAAAGCAGGGGGCAAAGGGACATGCCTATGATCCCAGCACTGGGGAGGCAGAGACAGGCAGATCCCAGGGGCTCACTGGCCAGCCAGTTTAGCCCATCAGTGAGCTCCAGGTTCAGTGAACAACTCCGTCTCAAAAAAATGGGATGGAGAATGATTAAAAAGTGATAGCCGACTTTTACCTCCGGCATTCACATGCACATGCACACATGTGCACCCCCCCCCACATGTAGACATGCAAGAAAAAAACCCAAGCACATTATTTTACACATAAGAACTGGCAACATGATCGCAGCAGGTCAGTCACACATCTTTCATTCTTGCTGATCTGTAACAACCTATGTATTTATGGAGACATATGAACACCACACAATCACACTGTCACCCACACTTATATATCAAGTTATCATCTTCTGTTCTGTTATCATCAGTGGAAAATATTCCATGCTGGAAAATTGTGGTATCAAGGCCAAGGGAATGGAATAAAGTAGCTGCTTCATCTGTAGGGGAGCTGCGTAGAGGGAGGAGGCCACAGCATCTTTTTCCAAGCAGACGTCCTGAGGCACATGGAACCACATGACACAATTAACAAGTTCTGGAGTTTTTTTGTTTTTTAATTTTTAAAAAAAATTTATTACTTTTATTTTATGTGTATGCGTGTATTGCCTGCATGTAGGTAAGTGCACCCGTGTCGTGCAATGCCCTCAGAGGTCAGAAGAGGTTGTTGGATTCCCTGGAACTGGAGTTACAGACAGTTGTTAGCTGCCATGTGGGTGGGTGCTGGGATTCAAACCCGTGTCTTCTGCAAGAACAACCAGTGTTCTTAACTGCTGAGCTATCTCTCCACCCCCAACAAGTTCTGTTTCTTCACACTCATGGAAACTTCAGGCCATGGCCTGATGGGCTCTCTGTTCTCACACTGAGAGGAGGGTGCCCGCTGGCATCTGAGTTTCATGTCTAGCCACCCTCTTGCTCCCCTGTGCATGCCAGTTGCTGGCTTTGTTACTGGTCTGGAGGGAGGCTCACAGACGCCCTACCTGCTCTACCTGCCATCAAAAGTCAATGAGACACACTGAGAGAGGATGCAGCACGCTCTGCTCTGCCAGCAGCCAGGATATAAGAAAAAGCTCCCAAAGCCTCAGGCATTATTCATCTGAAATGGATCCAGCCCACAGTTCTGCAGTTGACTGTCCTACAAAGACACTGGAATTGGACACTGGTCTGTAATCAACTCATGGAGATTCAAGATATCACTTTCCTTTGTGATTGGGGAAAAGGCTGTCAGTCTCCACAGAATGCAGACTGCTGGTGTTAAAAGGGGAGGTACATCATGGAAACAGTCATAGAGGCACTAGCTCTGCAGAAGGAACTCCAGACTCAGGGAACTGTGTAGCTAAAGGGCACTTGTCCTCTCCAGTGGCTTCAATATGCTCTTGCTCCTAAACCTCAGTTTCTTCATAAGTTAAGTTGTAGCCTCAGAAGGATGCTTGGAGTTGAAGTGACATGGTAAATATGAAAGTCATTTATATAAATATCGGCCAATAAAACACTCTACATCTACAAATTGACAGAGGTAATTTCTTATTTCACAATAATCAAAAGAGGTCCAGCTTTCCTGAAAGCACAGAGGAGCACACAGTGTAGATGTAGCCAGTATTTAATTCCACAGCCTCCTGAAGGCAAAGTAAGAACCACATGAATTTATGCCTTGAAGGACCATTCCTCACAAGGCAGTGGGCAGCGAGCCACCAGCCTTGAGTCCAGGGTCTCCCCAGGGCACCAAGCCATAGGGACATTCTCTGTGGCTAGAGGCCAGGAATGGCCATGTGGGCAGTTGGTTTTGATCTTCCTTCTTCTACTGGAACTCTAGCTGATCACTGACCACAGTAACAGCACCTCTGCCACACAGGTCAGTGATGGGCATGCTCAGCCCCTCCTGTGGCTCTTCATGGGACAAACACTTCCACAGCCCCATGATTTAGCAAAAGTGCCTGGCTGAAGCTCCACGGCACTCTTTTTACAGACATACCACCACAGACACTCTGCAGAACCTCTGTAAACTTATTTAATAAATTAGTACTTTTCATGCACCCTGAGCTGTTATTTAAGCAAAAACAATTATAAATCCCCAATTATGTCTTGCAGGCTTCCACTTCAGTTTGCATAAACCTAGTGTCAGCTGAGGTCCAGGTCCCTACCTCATCTCCAAGGGCCTTCGTTCCTGGATTTGACTGGTACAGAGGTCAGGCTGTGTGTACTTTTCCTCTGAAGCTCAGCTACTTGGTACTGAGATAAGGCACTGACCCCCCTAATGGAGGGATGAAACCCCCAGGTGCTCACTCTTCATGTTGAGATCCTGCCAGGAGGTGAGGTAAAGGGTGGGCAGGTGACTCTACCAATTCCTGGCCCTTCCTCCTGGTGGCCTGAGCCAAGAGTTCAGGCTACTCTCCTCGAAGTATGTTGACTTAATTCTGTTGGTTCCTGCTCAAGGGTTTCCTGGCATGAAGGGGCCTGCGATTCATGCACAACCTCCTTGAAAGTTTCCTTTATCAGAAAACAAGGAGGCCTTGGGGCTTCCATTCCCCCAGGGAGAAAGATTCAAGAAAAAGCCTCTCAGAATCACTGTAGGCCTGGGATGACTGAAGCACAGGGGAAGGGGTGGGGATGGAAACCACTGCTCTCCTGTCTCTCCAAACCCTCAGCAAATCCCCTCAGAGCTGGCTTCCCAGGGAGCTCTGTGGGGCAGCTCTGCACAGGTGTCAGGTACAGCTGGGACAGGACCTCCTATATCTGCCCTCTGCCACATTCCCTGAAGATCCTGTCCCTCCGAGGCCCAGATAACTGGGAAGCCTTTATTTATTTTTTTAAAAGGTTCTGGGTACCACAACAGTAACAGAATTGTGATGTTTTTGGGAACTTTGTTTTTTACTTAAAAAAAAAATGGAATATACTGGATGTCTCTACAATTTTGTTCAGATGACTGCAGAATCTGGAAACACAGTTGCTACTGATACCTAACACACTGCTACTATTGGTCTTTTTATACATTTACACACACACACACACACACACACTTATACAATATAGAATTTTTGGAAACCTTATCTGTGTTGTCAACTTTGGAAAAAAGTCTCAGTTTACTGTGTTGAGTTGGCAGTGTACAGAAATTAACAGCCACGCTGGTTTAGAAATGTTAATTTTTTTCCATTTGTACAGGGATAATGCACTGTATTAAATATGCATGCTCTTCTCTACAAGTCTGATCACAGAAAAACAGTATTCTCTAAATAATGAAAAACAAAGCACACAATTCCAGTCCTCCACATGCTTCAGTGCACAGATGGATTTTTTTAAAGAAATTTTTCTGGGGTAAAATTTTTTTTTCCTTCCAAGCACACATGGCACATGCACATGCGCACGCGCGCACGCACACATACACACACGGTGCATGCACACTCACACAAAATACACACTGGTGGGCTGGTGAAGTGTCTATCAGCTCAGAAATCACCTCAGAGAGAGCTACGCTCGCACCCAGACTTGTGAACACCCAGACTGGGAGGCATGCTTCTGCACACGTTCTCCTCTTTGGTTTGTTCCTTTTGGTTTGTTTCCTTCATTTTCAAGCCTGTGCCACTGTGGGGAACGCCTATGTGGTAGGTTTGGCTTATGGGCATTTTACTCACCCATGTTGTTTTTTTACATTAAAATTACTATAAACTTTTTAACATTGCTGTTACAAATTACACCCGTAAAAAAGGTCTTGAGAAGTCAAGCTTTGTGTCACAAAATCATCTCAACACAAGATTCTGCATTCATAAAGGATTTAGCAGATCTCACAGGGCTACACATAGGATACCGCTTATGACATAAGTAGGTCCCCAGAGAGCACTGTACTGCAGGGCACCCACATGTGGACCATGGAGATTTATTTCCTGGGATCCACATGTGACTTCCATAAGTCTGACACAGAGCTACATGCCAGAACATAAGGGTGTGAATTCATATCTGCCACTCAGGTCTGTACCTCAGCATATACTCAGCACACATGTGACACATACATACAGTGAACACATACAGCACACTCTCACAGTAAACACTATAGGATACACTGTATACACACAGCACACACATGTGGCATGCACACACAGTGTGCATACAGTATACTCACAGGTAAGTGAATACACACAGCATACATATAACTCACATGGAAGTGAACATACATGGTGAACACTGCATAAACATAGTACACACATGTGGCATGCAAACACAGTGGACACACAGCAAACACGTTAACTCACATGGAAGTGAACACATACAGCATATACATGACACACATTTATGTACCATGCACACATATGCCACCTGGGTCTGTACCTCAGCATATATCCAGCACACATGTGGCACACATGCAAAGTAAACACACATAGCACACTCCCAGTGAACACACAGAGTACATACTGCATACACATGACACACACGTGTGGCAATTACACACAGTGAACACACAGCACAACCACAGAATGAATACACACAGCACATGGATACATACATGTGGTACAATCATGGTAGACATACATAGCATGCATGCAATGAACACACTGCACACTCAGTGAACATACATGGTGAATACACACAGCACACTCATATAGTGTATGCACGCATCACACACACAATGAACATTCAGTATCACACTACATGTAAACACAACCAGCATACACACAGCACACTAACATGGTGCACAGGAATACACAGTGAACACATGGTGCATGCATAGCACACATTCCACATTTACACAGTGAACTCACAGGGATCACACACTGTGAACACACAGCAATATACAGAGTACACACAATATACACACAGTATGCATGCATTTTCAAACATGTCTGTTCATGAGGGGTGTCTCCATCCTCTGGAAAGCCACCTTTTACTCTCTTACTCAAAGCTATGAATCCTCCCTCCCTCCCTTCAGACATCCCAGGTTTCTCCCCACATCAACTGCACCTCTGCATTTCCATGTCCTTCTGATGAAAAACCACGGAGATTCCGCTGCACTTGCACCCACCTAACTGACAAGCTCCTCCCTTTGTTCTGCCTCTCACTCTGCAAAGAGTGGCAGGCCTAGTTTTTCACAGGGACAGGTGCTATGGTTTCTACTTTATACTCTTGCCAGGGCAGCAGGCACACAGCCAGACAGCACATGGGTAAGGGGCAGCAGTGAGATGCCTTGGGCTTCAGTCTGACCCTCTACTGAGGTGTGACTAAAGAGAAATGACAACTGTGCCGGGCACCGTGGCAGGCCTGTGCGGCGGATGGAGGATGAGGCCCTGACAACACATCTGACATCGTTATAGGAGTGGAGTGCTGTTTCAGTGGCACAGGGACAGTTGCACAGGAGCACTGAGGCTGCACGGAAGGCAGGGACACCCTAGGACAGCTGCCCAGGAGCACCAAGGCCGCACAGAAGGCACCTTCCCCTGTGGCAACACTACCTTGGAGGAGACGATTCTGTTGTCAGGGTATCTCTGTGGAATGTACGCCTCTGCACCCGGAGGCGGCTCCTTGTGTCCCACGTAGATGGTCCGACTGTCCACCCAGTTTTCTTCTCCTGCACACTGAGGAGAGAAAAGCAGCATCACCCTGTGCTTTGAGCCTGTAGTGCATGTTATCCCACAGTTCCCTTCCAGAGAACAGAGCCCATCCTGCTGACACAGAGGGCCATGGCCTGAACATTCATTCTGCTCATGTCGAAGGCCACGTGGGGCTCCCCAGCTCCCTCCCACAGCCTGAGTGACTGAATGGCTTAGTCCCACAAGTAAGGGGGCTTCAGTTCTCTAGCCAACTCCCTGGGAAGACACTGGACACTGGGAGCATCTGTGCTGAGGGAGAAGCCTAGAATGCTATAATGCTGGCTGATGATAAAAGCAGCATGAGGCAGGGGGATTGTGCATTTACAATAGTGGCAAGGGGCAAAAAACACATGGTTAGGTGCCAGGCCCAGAAGACCAGGAGGTCCTGAGATGTGCCTGCCTTCTGGATGTCCTTTGCTACTTGGGAGAATGCTCCCTGGTCAAGGCCAGCAGAGGCATGGTGCGTAGCCTAGCACCCATAACTCTGCCCCAGATGTGCATCCTCCCTGGCTCTCTGATCCTTTTACACAACCAGCCCCTCTGTTCATGTGCTTGCTTCCTGGGGGTCATGAAGTCCATCCCACTGGGTCCCTAGCACACTATGCTGCAAGTGCATAAATGCCGCATGTGCCACGGTGGGTATACCATTTCATCACTGAGCATGCCTCCCCCTACACTTTCCTCACTAGGGCCCATCTTTGTGAGCAGTCTGGATAACCAGACTGAACTGTAGCCATGTCCCCAGGAGCCTGGCAGAAGATAAACTCACTGACACAGAAGCCAAGCATCTCATTCCCCAGGGCAGATGCTACAACACCACTCCCAGGGCACTGACTGGTCTCGACCTACAATGAGGCAAGAGCACATTCCATACTACTGGGTGCTCTCGCAGAGGACCTGGGTTCAGTTCTCAGCACTCACATGGTGGCTATCAACCATCCTAAACTCCAGTTCCAGAAGATCCAGTGCCCTCTTCTGGCCTCTGTGGACACTGTCCTCATGGGTGTACTTGCATTCTTACAGACAAAACACTCATACACATAGAGTAAAAATAAAATCTTTAAAAAAGAGCCTCACACACAAGAGCTGTCAAGAAAGCCCCCTCCCCCTCTCTCCCAGAATGTAGCCACCCTGAAGCTTCATATCCTCACAGGGCCAGTACACTGTACTGAGAAGAGCACAAATACACAGACAGGAAGGCACCAACACCTCTCAGGGCCCAACGACACTCCTAGAAACCCTTACAATAAGCTCCAAAGGCAATGGTTGGACTTCAGGGGTAGCCGTGAGCCCCTACTGAGACTCTGAAGGCTGAAATCACCCTTCAGACTCATGGATACCCACTCAGAAGGGAGCTGTCATTTTCCCATCTACCTTCTAGGAAGAGGAAGGGTTTTGGGTGAAACGCTTATAAACTCATAAAAAAGGAGCACTGAAGACAATCTCTGTGGGCCACACAGATGCAGCCCGTGGGGTGTTTCAGCTTGTCCCCCTTGATTCTTCCCAATTCTCTTCTCACACCTGGGATAGGATGCTGCGTGAGAGGGTTTCATTTCCATGCTTGGTGTGACAGGTGCACAGCACTGTGCTTGGTGGCTGGGGAAGGCGCTAAGCTGCACTGCAGGGAGCTCTTCAGAGAAGGGTTAACCACAGGACAGCCTGGGAAGAGGCACTGAAGGCCGGAGATCTGCTCTTTGTGTGCTAACATACACAGTTAAATATTAATTCCTGCTCTTCCAGACCAAGGCCAGGAGCTGGAGCTGCTCCTGCAAATCATTTGACTGCCTGGGTCTTTAAATAGAACCTGGAAGCATTTGTCTGACAGATGCTAAAACTGGGACCGACCACCATGGAGGGTGGATCATAGCAAGAAATTAGCAAGAAGAGTGTCAAGGTTTGACCCCTAACCAGAACAAACAAACACTTACTAGCAATAATAAGAGTCTAGACTAGTCATGGGACCTTGCCCACATGACTAATTAATAAAGTACTAAAAGGAACAGATCAATAATTCTCAGAGGACAGCAGAGAGCACTTCTGGTGATGAGGCAAGGGATCTAGGCTCCATCCTGTGCAGTGTCTGAGCAGGTGGAGGAGAGTAACAAATCAGCGGAGAGGAACTCTGACACAGATCAGTGTGGAATCAGGTGAAGACTCTGGACTAGGAGACAGCAGGGTATAGACACAGCCCACAGAGGGTCAGTAAGCAATCGCAAGGAACCACCAGAGCTGCAGCCCAGGAAGCCAGGGGCGTACTGGCAGAGCAGCCTGTGGCTAGCCTGGGGAGCTCATGTGCTTAGAAGCTGGAACCCTGCACAGGTGTTACTGCATCAGGCCTGACTATACCTGCCTTGTGCAGCAGAGACCATGAGTTGGGGTCCTGCCCTGTAAGATGTGCCCACTGTCCACTGTTCCTAAGGACAGTCCACACTTCCACTCAGATTGTAGGAGGGAAAAATATTATAAAACAACTCAAAACTAGAACTCTGGAGTACAGAAAAAAATACCCAGATTTCACAAGTATTAACACTTTGCCATATTAGTGTCAGATGGATTTTTTAAGGAAATAAAATTAAGTAACAGATTTTTCAAAAAGCCATTTGAAGCATCTCCCTTTTAAAAACTGCAGGCAGTAGATGAGGCAAGGGGAGACTACAGTGACCTAACATGCCTTAAGGGACAGGGTATCCCTGGACACTTAACTCTGCCCAGCACGGTTATGTCAGGAATAGATTCCTACAGTCCACCCCCACCTAAGTGCACCAACTAGGGGAAGCTGTACCACAGCACCCATGCCTCCTGTCTCTCTTCAACACCCATCCAGAGACAACGAACAGATCAGGACCATAGTGATAAAGAAAACATTCGGGGAGACGGGCTGTCTGTGCACAGCACAGCCTCTGATGGTAACATGGTGCTCACTGCCTGGGGTGGGGAGGTCAAGGCTAGACGGCCTTTCCAGACACGTGGGTGCTGCCTGTCAGAAGCATGTCACTGCTCTCCTCAGTCCAAAAGCACATTCAATTTAGCATTCCCTTACATCACAGAAATATGTGCATTGTCTCTTTTCCTTTCAATTAATAGTACATTAGAATACGTGAAATAAATTCTTATACAATGTTCATTTGTATGTCTGCATTGTTCTTTTGGATTTTATCTTGTAATGTTTGGGGTGATTCATACTGTGAAATTATGATACCAAGAAAAGGCGCACACCATCCTGTAACTGAAATGGGAAGATCTGAGCCCTTCCTGAAGCACCCAGCAGACCCACAGTATAGCTCACATAAGCAGGACAAGGGATGTTCCAGCACAAATCCAGCTTAAGACCACTCCGACAGGTAGTTTAGCATCCTGCTACCATATTAAACAAACTGGAAGAGGGGAACGAAACTGGGTAGAGGCCTAATTTGTCATTTTTTTTTTGAGAAGTCCTGATCATGTCCTTTCATCATGTCACTGTGTCTCCATCTTGGTGGAAGCCTGAAGCTTTATGGAGTTCTGCCTGCAGTAGCACCAATCTCCCAGGCCTCTGGGGCCCTCTCCCAACCTTAGCTGCAGTGTTCTTGGTTCTGGGTGAGCCTCCCAGCTAACTCTGAACAATTTTCTTTTTGTTTGCTTGCTTGCTTATTTGTTGTTGAGACAAGAGTCTCACTATGTAGCCCTGGCCAGCCTGGAACTTGCTAAGTAGACCTAAGTTGGCCCTGAACTATCAGAGATCCACCTGCCTCTGCCTCCCCAGTGCTGGGATCGAGGGCATGCACCACCATGCCCGGCACTTGACTCTACTTCTTGTCACAGAGTGACATTAAAGATTGATTGCAAGGTTGCCCAAGGACAAGCACCCAGCTCTGCAGGTTCAGGTGTTGGGGGAACAGCTGATTTGTAGCTGACTCTAAGCAGTTCCTTCTAGCAGATTTGGTGAAGACTGGAGACAGTAAATTTCCTTCAAGCCTGCACCCTCCCAAAAGAAAGACACAGACAGAGATCTAAAATCCATGTTTGGTCAACGTCCCAATGCTGAATTCCTATGGAAAGGTGACTTAGCTTGGCTCTGTTTAATGAGACTGAACAGTCAAAAAACCAATTTCTCACCAATCTTTGGCCTGCTGAGAGATAACACAAGTGGTCCTGCTGACTTTCCTCTGCTGGCCTCAAGCCCAAGTCCACTCACAGCTGGAGTATTCCCAGCACCCAGGGACTGAGATCACTCGAGCAGGGCTGAAGAGGCTCTGTGAACGCTCTTCTGCAGGATGCAATGCTCTGAGATAGAGTGGGTACTTTATACACAAGCCCTCCCACGCTCTTATTCCAGAAGACTCATGAACAGCAGCAATTCTGAAGGTGGGTGTGGATCCTTGGCAAATCCTGCCAGGCTTGTTTCTTCCAGGAAAGAAGTTCTGGGCTGGTAAGCCCTCCACTCCACTGCCAGGATAGGGATATGCAAGCTGACCCGGCTGACCACTGAGGTCGGCTCTCTGGGGACAATGATGGCCTTGGCACCACACAGGCCTTCGCTGTGCGTACATAAGTCACTTTCCCTCAACCACAGGGAAACCGTGTCTGTGTGAACTCATGAACCCGCCTTGGGATTCTTTCTGTCGCCTCTGAGGGCAGGTTGTGGGCATGTGTCCTTCAGAGTCTTTTGAAGACACCATAAACCTGAATGAACAACACAGTGAAAACACTGAATTCAGTGGGTAGCATACTTTCTCAAAAATGTCAGCCTTTCAGGGTTGGCTGTGTGAACCCATCTGAAAATGGAAACCAGGAGGAGTGATTTTCCCCAAGCACTCAACATACAGATCTGGGACTAAGCAGAGACAAGTCTGCAGAGTGAAAAACTGAATTAGACGAAACATTAGGTCAGATCTCTATGTCCAAGCAAGTAGACACCATATATTCTTAGACTGCCAGTCCAAGCCACCCATCTGCAGACACAGCTCCCTCCAGTGAAGGGGAACCCAAGTGACAAATCAGCAATT